TGTGGCTTACATAGTACACAACTAACTTTTTGATACATGTGTTCTTTGTACCTTTAAGAGTTGCAGTGAACCAAGAACTGTAAAAACTCATTATGTAAAAAGATGCCGTGAAAAAGTCAATTAAATCTAGAAATGTGTGTAGACTCCCTGAATACATTTTAAGTTTTGGCTCATTGACCACTGAAAGGGCAATAAGCTTTGGTATTACTATACTTTGTGCAGTAAGTGATCAGATAACGCAAAATATTTTCAAAAAATATATTCAACCACTGATGATAAGAACAAGTGTTATTTGGCTTTTTTCCATCTGTACTGCTTCATCTTCTTCTTGTTTTTTCCTTAAATATCCATTTATTCATTTATCTATTTCCCACTTTTTCTTAATCTTTTTCAGGGTTATGAGGCACTGGAGCTTATCCCAGTTGCCATCAAGCAACAGGCGGGATACAACCTGGACAGGTCACCAAACTGAGCCAACACAGAGACAAACAACAACTCACGCTGACACTCACTAATTTGACACTACAGTCAATTTAGAATCACCGTTTAATCTAACAGTCTGTTTTTGGACAGGGCACCTGGAGAGAACAGAGAAAACACACACAGAAAAGCCCCAGCCAAGAGATGACAGTTTCAATGAGCATATGATAGGCCTAATGTATTTACCTAACCATCATGTAAAAAGCAGTTAAACTGAGTAAAAAATGTTTTCTTTTTTTCATCATTTGCAGTGAAAAAGTAGATCTTTACATTTCAGCATTACAGGCAGCCCTTTTTAAATTTATAATGTTTTGTTTTGCTAATTAATGTAAAAGTTATCAATCTGGCAAATATTCCTGTATCAAACATGTTTACATTTGCCATATGGCTAGCCAGAGAAATTTGGTTTTAAGAGTGTTTAACTCTCTTAATTTCAACATATTATGTAATAGGGTAACATTTATTCGATCAAAATAACACAAAATGTGTCACTCTGTCACGAACAGTAGCAAGTGCAACAAGATATTTTTTGACAAAAAAGAACGGCTCAGATCCACAGTCACAAAACTGCACATAGATACACAAACAAAACCGGCTCAACAAACCAAACATCGCACCCAGAGAAGGACATCCTCAAGCACACGCCAACAACTGCCAGGTTCTCACTGTGGAAACCTGGTGTGATGAAACAGGACCAGCAGCACTATCACAAACCTCCTCCTGCTCCTCAAGCCCATAACTGTTGACATTTCAGCATTACAGGCAGCCCTTCGGCACCATAAACAAAAGAATCCATGAAAGGGCTCAAGGTCCAGCATGAGTAGCTGCAAAGATGCTAAAATTGGCGGCTATTGCATTCATGGGAATACATGTGTTACTTCTGGTCAAATAAAACTAGTTTTCTCTCAACTAAGGGCAGCGAGCTGCAGGTAAATCTTATTTCTCATGTCCAATCCGTTAACCTCCCCAGGTTCTTTTGTGTTTTTGTCCTTCTTCATCTTCTGCCAAGAGGAGAGCCAAAGGGGATTTATCTGATCATTACTGCGCTTTTGTCTATTTGTCTGTAAGATTACACGAATCTTCCAAGACAAATTCATGAAAATTGGTGGAGGCGAAGAACACGGGTAAAGGAAGAAACTCTCACAAATTGGGGAGGATCCAGATCACTTTCTGTAACAGGGTGAAGCATGATAGCAGCATTCATCGTGATGGGGGAGAGATGCTCACTTTGAGAAGTGCTCTAGTTAACATTGAAGCTTTACTGGAAACCTGCCAAAGTCTACAGCTGAAGCTTCAAACGTGATAAATGCAGGAATGATTTCTGTTCTTTTGCTCAAACATTGCGAAGTTGAAGTAAAATAATAAAATGCAATATACAGTCTATATTTCACTAAATATATTTCTATCCTTCTCCACAGTGTAAATGAATGTACAGGTCAAATGCCCTCATGGAATTACACAGGGCTTGACCATATCTTACTGCAGATGAAAAGAGAGGGCAGAGAAAGTTGCAATAAAAACTAAGTAAATCCCTGCGTTATCCATTTGGCAGACGCTCGCTTGATATACCTCAGGCTGGATATTAAAAATCTCAGATGGGCTGTCCAACTGACAACTTAATCCATTTAGAGTCACTGAGTAAGCAGCAGGAGGCTGAGTCAGGGTCAGTGTACACAGGGGTCTGTCATGCCTTGCACAAGGCACAATAAGTTTATCTTTAGTAATCTATTCTAAACACATAAAGAGTCAAGGAAAAGCAGCTGAGAAAAAAGACAGAAAAATGCAAAAAAATCTTGTTTTGACTGCATGCAGATTGAATGGAGAAGTAACTTGGCAAGTCGTCCTGAAGTCTCCGTCACCACTCCTGAGCAGTCAGAAATAGGTTGTTTGTGGTGAAGTCTTTTCTTCTGCTACTTATCCACGGCCTTTTTCACACAGCGTGCCCAAGGTAGGCCCGATTCACCGGCTGACCTGTTTGAAAGTTACCGAGGCAATAGCAGTGGTAGTGGCAGGGCTGAGTTGGCGTGTGCGGGGTACATTGGAGGGGGGGGGCTGGCAAAGAACAGCGTTCTTATCAGTGGCGCCGCTGTCACGCCGCCAGTTTCAAAAAGCTGGCTCGTCATTTGTGAGCACGCGCTACATGTGGCCAAGCTGCATCCATCCGGCCCGCCTGACTTATCAAACGGAAACAGCAGCGGCTGATGTCTCATTTTAATCTGACATGGAACGACCTTAAAGTAAACTAAGTTGTTCTAGTTGACCCCACCCTTTTAAAATTCTATCCATATCTTCCTTCTCTACACCTGCCGAATCCAGCTCCAGATCACAAGGGCCTGTCGAAACTGCCATGGGGTCAGAAGCAGGGCACACCAGGGACAGGACATCAGTCCTTTGTTGGTCACTTCTAATTATGTTTGCAAATACTTTATCTAAAAAGTGAGCAAACAGCCTCAGTGACCCACTTACTTGTTACTTGGCCTTTGAAATATCACCCTCTTAACATTTTTATTTGTATAACTCTACATAGTTTCATATCTAAAGGACTGAATTAATTTAACAAAACTACAAAGCCTAGAAAGACCCAGTGACCGTGTTTTGAGGAGAGATATTAGTGTTCTTTTCAGCAATATTAGTGGAGCCAAACGTGTTTAGGAGATAGCACCGAGCAGCTGTCAGCACTTTAAAGCATTTCCTTGTTAGACTTGCCTTTTTGACTCTTGAGCTAAACCCATCAATTATTTATTTGTTTTTTTTTTCAGTCCATGGTCTGTATTGCTCAAATAACATAGGTGTCTGCCCCACTTTGTCTGAATGTTTTTTTAAACGAAAAATCTTTTTTTTAAGTGCTAAAATGTGCATGTCAAGATTTTTAAAGCTCATCTTCTCATTTACCCTTCATCTTAGTAGTTTCTACCAAGCCTTTGACTTGAGGCGTTCAATCCATCTTCTGTTTCCTACAGTTGTTTCAACATTTTTATTTGTTATTTCAATTTCTATTGATGAGAAGAAAAAAAATTCAGATAATGTAATTGATATATTAGCTGTTGAAACATCTTCTGAGTCCTTAATCAGAATAATCATCATCTTTGTCTTTATCAATCAAACAATTCTACTAAAGATTTGGGGGGGTTTCTATTGGTGTTTAAAAAAAAAAAAAAAGATGAAAAGTGACTTTGCAATGCAGTTTATTATTGCTCAGACAAAATCCCAGTGTCTAATATAAGCTGTTATCATGGCGTTGGAAATTACATTCAGTGACAGCTTGAGTTAATGGTTCTAATTATATTCTCTTGTTCTTCATTACTTTGATATGAGACATTCAAATAGAATTGTTCCCATAAAACAGACAGACAGATTTCCATCAAAGTCAAACTTTAATTCTTTATTATAAATGATCTATTGCAGTGAAGTTTATTTGTGTTTTTCCTGAACAATCAAACATCCAACAAACTCGGCTGTCAATACAGCTGGCAATGTTGGCTTGCAGTGACTCAGGTCTTGACAGAAGCATTTATGGTGAATATATAGAAGCTTTTCAAAATATATAAACTCAGATGGGTTTTGTTGTTTGTGTGCAGATTTCACCTCGACAGGATCGTGACAGAGAGATAAGAAAGAGGACAGATTTCTGGCACTCTCGCCTGATGAGAGGAAACATGAACCAGCTTGAATGGACTATTAGTTGAATGGTGCCATCTTCTGGTAGAGGCTTGCTCTCCCTTTCCCTACATTTTCTTGGGATTTTCACTATTCATTTATGAGTCTGCATCCAGTATCAGATTATCTACAAAGCCTCTTGACATTTCCAGCTTTACCCATAATTATACTTCCTAACTCCAAGTCCAAACTAATTGGAAAATATTAATTATAAGATCAATTAAACTGCACTATTAATTTGTGTCAACTTAACTAATTCAGTGTAAAAAAAAAAATGGTAGTACATACAAAAACCATAAAATCTTTTAACTGGAGGGCGAGAGTGCCCCCTAGACTGCCCTCACGTGGTCACAGTTTACAACCACATGTCTACCTACTTTCCATCGTAATTCAAGCAAACTTGCAGGAACAACTACTGTTTTCACCCTTTTGTTTAGGACGCAATCGTGAAAGGTGATGACAGTGTTACTTTTAAAATGTATTTCTAACAAACATGAAAACTGGTCGTTTGTTAACATATTTACATACATCTATCGTGATTTTGCCATGTAAAATTAAAAAAATCGAAAATATTGCCTCCATAAAAGCAAAATGATTGTTATACCCTTTAAGACATTTTAGAGCTACAAAGTAAACGAATAGATTTTCAATAACAACACAAAGTAATTTAACAAAGTATAAACTGATCCCATTAAGTGAATAGAAAACAGAAATGCTTTTTAAAAGCATTTCTGAGCCCTTCATTTTTTTCTGAGTGATTGAATTCAGTGATTGAAACTTCACTTTAGGGCTTTATTGGGAGGGGGCAAAACTTGCCATAAAATCTTAATTATATTAAATTAACTTGTCTTCTTGCAGTCGCAGTCCTTTGATGACGTATTTTACAAGCGACGCAGGGAGGGCGCTTTGAAAGCCAATAGGTAGCTTGTGTTAACGTGTGAGATATTCCAAATAACCGACGGAATGAAGCCGAAATATGAGAACCTTCTCAGTATGTGACACCATGTGCAAGGTAGTCGAAGTTGTTTTTTTAATTTCCTTTCCAAACTTGTTAGCTAACGTTCAAGTAGTTAACGTTAAAGTTAGCTAACAGCTTCTGGTTGCAATCTACAGCTACCGGTGTGACAATACGCTGCCTTTAACGTCTTCCTTTAAATGTTGGAGATTTGTAAACTGTCTGAGGATGGCGAGCGTACATGAAAGTTTGTATTTCAACCCCATGATGACAAACGGGGTGGTCCACGCCAATGTGTTTGGCATCAAAGACTGGGTGACTCCGTACAAAATCTCTGTCTTGGCGCTGCTTTATGAAATGACCGCTTCCAAGATGACGCTTCCGGAGAGAAGGCGACTGAACAAGCTTATTCTGCCACTGCAGCAGGTTGGTTAGAACTATTGCATTACTTTGTTTCCTCAAGATTGTAGCAGATGTGCTTGATTTTGCTTTGTGCTTCATCACAGGGTCCAGACCTGACCCTCGGCCAGTTCCTCAAGACTGTGGAGGAGTGTTGTCCTCAGACGGCATATGCAGTCAAACTCAGGTGTGCTGCTTCTCTGGCTGTAGACTGTGGCTGCTGATATAGTAGATCATGTTTTGGCTACTGGTGCTTTCATGCACCTCTTGGGTTCAGGACTTTGTGATTTTTTTTCTTTAGAATAAGTTCAGTCACAGTAAATTAAATACTGTTTGTAGATATCAACTGTAAAGTTTGCTCCTAACTCTGACCTCTGACACCTTGATATTGACACAATAATACCAGAACGAGGTCCATTCTGGTTGTTTTTATTATTTTTCATCTATTTCTTTTAGTTCTGCTTTCAGATACAGACATCTGCTTGTCACATGTCATTTGTACACTGTTAAAAGTCAGTTCTGACACAAGTTATACTGATGACGATTATAAGAGCAATTAAGCCATTTCGCTGTCTAAAATCATTTACAGAATTGCATTTATTTTCAACTTTCTTATTTTGAGTCTGTTCCCCATTTGTTGTAACCTATTTTTAAAATATTTTGTATGTTTTAATGAATTAATAAGAGGGTTTTACTACTGAGTGAGTGAGAAAGAGAAAATTCTTATAATTATATCGAAATACTTTTATATTGTATGTTCGTCTAAGACTGAGCTGTTTTTCTTCCAAAGGCTGCATGAAATGGCAGATGGAGAGCTGAAAGATATGGAGTACTTTTTTTCCACTCTTCCCACTCCGTTCACTGCCTTTGACTCTGAGGCCTATAAAACCAGTGTTGTGGGTGAGTAGAGGCTTTTATGTGCAGCCCCTCAAGTCTGAGTACAAAGACAGACCTTTGTGATTCACCTTAAGAGGTTGAAGCAATCCACATTTTGGTTGTTTTTTTAGGACTTTTTATGAGACACATGCTCCTGGCGTACAACAAGCTGTCATTCAGCCAAGTTTACAAGCTGTACAAGTCCCTGCAGCACTACTACCACAGTCACTACGCCAAGCCTGTGGACGGGCAGGTGGGTGTGCCAGTGCTGGTCGCAGATGACTCAGAGATGGACCTCACCAGCACAGAGGACACCGTAGGGGATCGAGTGGAGCAAGAGGAGCTGGACACCCCTCTGCATGAGTCAGAGCTGCAGTATGTGACGATGTTCTGAAATGATTTATTAATTAATTTGGAGTTTAGTTTTGTACTTTCAAAGCAAAAAACTCGCAGCCAGAAATGAAAATGATTATCCACGTCAGCTCGGTAATGAGAAGAACAACGGCTAGATTCTTATGCGTGTTTAACTCTGTTTTAGAAGTGTTAATGCGCCGAGCAGAGGTCCCCTGTCACAAAAGCAAGCCGAGTACTTTCTGGCAAGACAGGTAAGTGTTGGCAATCAAGTTTGTTTAAATGATCTGATTTCAGACATGTTTCTCCATTATAGGCGTAGACTTGTAAGTATGCAAATCTTAATAAATATACAAGAGGTCAATATATTTGAAGTTATATTTCCTAAACAAGTGTAGAAGTGGACATTTTTAGTCATTTGTTGGTTAAACAGCAGTGACTGTATGGTTTGAGTCCTTGTGCAAATTGTTTTTATAACCACTGCTTCATTTCCCTTCATGGAGGAGACTCTCCTGTTCTGTTCCAAACATGTTTAACAGCCTCTCACAGTATGAAAAACATCTTTCTTCAGGCTTATCTTCTGAAGAACGATGAGAACAAAGCCCTGAAGCCCGCCGCACTGCAGGAGGAGCTCAACAACATGCTGAAGTTTAACCCAGATTTTGCTGAAGCGGTGAGTTCCATCTGCTTCAATTTCATCTCGAGACGAGATATTCCACCATAGGTATTTTGTCTTCTTTTTAAGCTCTGTGTTCCGCTCTCTGTCCACAGCATTACCTGAACTATTTGAACAGCATGAGAGTCCAGGACATCTTCCTGTCCGCCCACAGCCTCTTGCATTACTTTGACCGGCTCATCTTGTCGAGTAACGAGGGGAAGAGCAACGGCGATGAGGGCTACGGTCGAAGCCTCCGCTACGCCGCTCTGAGCTTGGCAAGCCTGCACTGTCGCTTCGGCCACTAGTGAGTAAAACAAGTTGGTTTCGGCCGAGATTAAAAAATGTATAGACTTGTATTTCCACTGGTGAGACTTTTCCTCATTTTCACCTGTAGTCAGCAGGCTGATCTGGCTCTACAGGAGGCCATCCGCATCGCCCAGGAGTCTAATGACCACGTGTGCCTGCAGCACTGTCTGGTATCAAATAACAAACAAATTGCTCTTGTTACTTTCTCACACCTCAGTGAAGCAGTTGTCCATTCTTTCCCAAATCTAACACAAGTCTCCTGTGTTAGAGCTGGCTTTACACACTGGAGCAGATGAAGGGATCTGACAGCACAGTGCTGACCGAGGACTCGGTGAAAATGGCTGCCCATTTCTGCCTGCCAGTAAGTGCAACATGGGGTCTCAGAGTGAGATACATCAAAGTTAAAGGGGATTTGTCTCTTTCTTGTTTTATTGCTTATTTTACGCTTTAGGTACATTTTCACAACTTTTTAACCTTCATACATAACAAAACATCACATTTATCAGCTAAGTGCATCATCATAAACATTGTGCCCCATTTTCTGTTGTTTAAGATACATTTTAGGCTGTTTTGTCATTGATTTATACTCATTCCTGAAAAATAGAGTAGAAAAATCTGTTTTTGATGCTTTTATGAATATAAAGCTCAAATACAGGTTGGGTCAAATGTCACAGCACCCCATTTTACTTCAGAAATTAAAGGTGAAATGGCGTATCTATATAACCCAGCAAGTAAAGGTTGAGGAGGCCTATCTTATAGGCCATGAAAGCTGTTTAATGTCAATGCATGCAATTCAGACTTTCAAATGTGTTGAAAATAAGATTTTGTTGCTCTAGTATCAGGCTTACAGGGACAGCTGGCAAGACTTTGTAATGGAAAAGGACTTGAGTGCTTATTCATACACAGCACCCACGCACAAATTTTCCATAAGATTAAGGATGTGAATGTGTGTCGAAAATGGGCTTTACTGGGGTATTATTCACCCACACACCGGTTGCTGCTTTTGTCAGGTTGGCTGTACCCATCCCATCTGTGTAAACACAATGTCTCTTTAGAGAAAGGCTTAAGAGGATTTCTTGAAATTTGTGTGATTGTCCATTCGACTAATGCGTAGAATTAGAGTTTTACTCAAAGCTTTCACACAAACAGGACTCGTGACTTTTTCTCTCTTTTATTAAAGCAGCATTTGTGACAGGAGGGTGACAAAATGTAAACTTATGTTAAAACATGACCTAAAACTTCTAAAGTTCTTGACACACAGGGTTGAGCAGCACGTTTAGATGTAACCTGATTCGAAAGGCTTGCTTTGTGTCCTTATATGTGGTCTGTGCTCCTCTGCTGTAGTATTTGGCCTCTCTGGGCATTCAGTCGTTGGTCCAGCAGGGGGCGACGCAGGGTAAGACTGCGCACAAGCTGATGGACGCGCTGAAGGATACGGACATCTTGCACTGGAAGCACAGCCTGTCGGAGCTGATCGAGATCAGCCTGGCTCAGACTACATCCATATGGAGGATGTACGGAAAGAGGTCGGGCTCCTCACCTGGCCGGCCTAACGCTCGCCTGTCAGCTCCGCTCACTGTTGACTCCAAACACATTCTTCATAATTCACCACAAATCAAATCAGGGAAACCGCTGACTTCCCTCATGCATGCATTAACATTTCTGAACATCCAGACGTCCTTTGCACGCATGCAGCTTTTCTGAGCATAAAAACAACTGCCGTAGAAAGCTTTCCTTTCCTTTTTTTTCTTTTTTGCTAATGTAATCTGGTGTTTTGTGCAGCACCATGGCTCTGCAACAGGCCCAGCTGCTTCTCAACATGAGCAGTCTGGAGCCGGTCAACTTCGGGGTCCAGCAGAACAACACCGAGGCCTTCGCCGTGGCCCTCTGTCACCTGGCCGAGCTGCACGCTGAGCAGGTAACACGTCTGATTAAATCTCCTCCCCCAGCCCTCCGTCCCGCTGTTCGCCGCTCACTGGGAAGGTGGGAAATCCTCCCTGTGTTATGTGAGGGTAATGAACCACAATCGGGTCTGCTTTCTGACTGTCCTGTGTGTCTTTGTCTGTGTTCCAGGGGCTGTACAGCGCTGTTGCAGAGATTTTTCAGCACCTGAAAGAGCAATTTCCTTCTCACACACAACACGCAAAGGTGCTGCCTCAGAGCCACATAGTGCTTTCATTTGCTGATTATCTGTATGGGAAAGCTGGTTGGAATGCCTTTGGGGATATTGGAGCTTTAGAAAGCGATCGGAATTAAGCCATAAGTAAATATCCTGTTTTGGCTTTGCGATGAATCTCCTTTAATGCACGGAGGGGGCTGCTGTACTGGAAAATGATGTGGCTTTTTAGCACTGGCCAGATTCCAGTTTCCAGTGAGTGAAGCAGCTGAGAGTAGGGTCAGTGTAGTGGCACTTTATACATTTTGTAGAGCAGTAGAGAAAGATAAGCTTTGTGTGTGTGTTTGCATTGTAATAAGATGTGCTTTTATTTAGTTTTCACATGAAAGCTGAGGATGAATATGATTGAATATGGTAAACATGCCAAAAGTTGGACTTTAGAAATTGAATAAGTCGATTAAGGGGATTTATATGATCAATATGTGCCAAATATGTTTTAAGCTTTTTGTTTTAGTGTGGTTTATGTTGCGTTAGAATTATGATAAGATCAAATTTGTGTATAAAACGTTTGCTTTTTTGGTTCAGCTCTGGATGCTGTGCGACCTGAAAATCCAGTTTGAGCGACACATGAACGAGGGGAAATACCACTTGGCCGAGCCCCTGGTAGCAGCTATTTCCGCTTTGAACAAAACAGAAGGCCTTTACAGGTAGCGGCAAAGCACAGACGGTCAGTTCAGCTCTCAACAGTTGCCGTCTTTTACATGTGTCATTTGTAGCTGTGCGTTTGCTGACAGGAAAGCTCAGGTTTTGAAGGCCCTCCACCGCAGCACTGAGGCGTACCACATCTTACAGCGGCTGCAGGCTCACTGTGAGAAGACTCAGTGCACAGAAATAATCATCAGGTAGTTCCCTGTTGTCCTGCAATGTGGAAGTGAAAAAATAAAATCTAAACAAAAATTAGTGGTTGGATTTTGGTGGTATTTTGATGAGTATTTGCCACATTTCCGTTCATGTCTAAGAATTTTATCCATTTTTCATGCAGAGTGATGCTGTCCACTGCCGAGCTTCACTGGGAGTCATCCGGTTTCTCCACAGCTCTTCCTGTGCTCCTGCAGGCTTTGACTTTGGCCAGACAGCACCACCTACAGTCCCTGGCCTCAGAAGCCATTCTTCATCTGGCCTTTACTCAGGTCGGTCACAGGAAAGAGCACTTGGACCGTGACAGACGGCGATGGCCATCCCTGTGAATCCCCCATGATTTGGGTCAGGCGCTGATCCACAATAAACGCTGCACAGCCAGCCACGTGTTTTTTCTGTTTTTGTCCACTTTCAGCTGATGCTGGGGGTTCCTGAGCAGGCTCTGAGTGTTCTCCATGAGGCCATGGAGCCCGTGCTGGCCCGCGGAGCGGTCATGGACAAAGGCCGGGCCTTGCTGCTGGCCGCTCGCTGCCAGATGGCGGTAGCTGGATTCAGGCCGAACGGACAGGTTCAGCCAGGTGAAACCCCCCCCCTTTGAACCTGCTCTGCACCAGAATCAGACTCGCAACATTTCCATTTCCACTCCTCTGCTCCTTATGTCCTGGCAGATTTGCATTCGGCGGCTTTGGTGGTGGAAACGCTCAACGAGGCTGCGGCCTATTTCTCCAAGCTGAGCTGTAAGGAGCGGCTGCGGGACGTCCACTACCTGCAGGCCCAGCTCCACCGCTCCATGGGACAGACTTTGCAGAGCAACCAAAGTGCCATGCTTTTCCGGCTGCTGGACCAGGAGCTGCAGTCCCCGGCCCCCCCCGTCTCCATGCAGCTCTGACCGCTCCTTCTTTACAACCACAGAGAGCTGTTGTTCAGGACACGTCTCCTCTAAGTGCAGAAAATAGGCTCTGCAACTCTCCACTAGATGGTGGCCAGACTCTGCCTCCACTTTTCTCAGAACTAAAACATTTCTAAACATTTTAGAAGAGAGGTCATTGAACAAACCACACACAGTAACGAGATAATTACCGAACAGAATAAATGCCAGCACTCATAAATAAAGAGTTTCTTTCCAAAAGATAAATACATACCCATTGAGTCCCTATTTGACTCTGCCACAGCGACTGCTCTGGTTGGTCTGACTTATACTCATGCCCGTTATCAGTTTGAAAGGGAAAAAAACTTTTCCCAGAGCCATCCCAGCCGCGCCGATCTATGCACTGCTTTTTGATAAATGAGGGTAATATCACAGTTTGCCGGATGATTAATGCGTTTCAGTGGCTCGGATGATCCATATTTGGCCCCTGGAATACTGATGAAGCTGGAACCCAGTGGAGGACGTCATCATCAGATTGATCTGTGTTGACGCGGTACAGGCGGAAGATCTGTATTCCACTTATGTCTGGCAGTCTGAGTACTTTTAGCTGATATTATTCTGTTATATGTCCCCTCTTTAAAAAAAAAACCTCATTTCCTGTTTCATTTTGTTTAATTTCCAGTTGATATGAGCTAGACATATCAGAGATAAGAAATATGGTATAATTTCATATGCATAGCTTAGTGTTTCGGTTTGATTGTTTGTTGGCTTCATGCACAGACTTCATACTTTTGACTGATGGCTGAGCAACTTGAGCCTTCCTGTTGAATTGCTTTTTGTGTCACGTTTGACCTCATGCCTTTCAGTGGATAAACGGATTGGTTGGGACCCACTTAAGAATGACCCCTGTTGACTTATGTTAAACACCTGACTCTCACACGTTTGGTGATTAAAGTTGGTGCGGATTTAGGCTGGTGGCTGCCATTTAATGCCTGTGTTTACATGTTTGGCATGATTACAGCCGAAGTAACCGTAGGGGAAGTGTGTTGGCTTGTTTACAGGAGTAAAAACGTCGAGTTGTACAGGAGTTTTCAGCATGTGTAAATGGGTTCTTGCTTTTAGACAGAGAGGCAGGATTTCCTGCTGAGCAGGTAAAAACAGGGACTGCTAATCATCACCTTTTCAGTCGGTCATTTACAGCCGAGAGCATCCAATTTGAATGTTACACCACTTTATCAGGTGGTTTGTAAAGCAGCCGAGCCTCATTTCAACCAGAAATGTGACCTTTCTATTGCATTAAACCTTCCTGTAAGGATGATTTAATGCTGACTACTTTTATTATTCAATTCAATGAATAAATCCCCCCCCTTTTCTTCAGCTGTTTAAAAAAGCTGGAGAGAAGGTATTTTCTAAAGACATAAAGAAGATGAACATCTCTTTTTCGTCTTTTGAGGTTTCCTCAGTCTCTTATATCTTTTTGTCAAAATTATTATTACCATACTAAGATCTTTGTTCCTTTTAATGTGGGTCATTTTATTTAGTGCCGAAATGGTTCAGTGGAATTAAAATATTATCACAGGATTCACTGATCTTTTATTTAGGTGATGACAAGCAATAAATTCTTTTAATGTATAGTTTTAGTCTCTAAATTGACCATTTTTGTAATGCCTATGCTGCTGCTGAACATAGGCAGGATTATTCAAGCTTAGCACTTTTCATTGTAACGAAAAGTCTTGATGGCATTGGTTGTTGTTTTTTCTAGGGTCCCATAAAATTCCACAGGATCCTCCTCTTTTTTTCTTTTTCTTTTTCTTTTTAATCCAGGATGAAGTTACTGGCCTTAGAGATTCTGCCTCCAGCTTTCATCAAATTGAATTTGATTTATTTGCAGCCGAAAAACACGCAGCATACTGACCTCATCAGAAGGCAAACAGTGGACAGATGTCGCTATTAATAAGAATACATATGACAAATAAGCTCAACCGGTCATCCGAGATTAAAACAATTATTTCAATATGTTTTTTAGATGCCTTACAAATAGCAGGGTGTAGCCAGAGTCTCTTTGTCAAGGACTGTGTTTAAAGCAAACCTACAAACTGCTCTTTTCCCTTCCTTACACTCCCTGTATGTCAACTCTAAACCTGCTCATCCTCAAGCAGCTTCAAACATTTCTGATAGTTGGCGCACTAATGCACCCCTCCATTATCAACACAGTCAGAGGCCCCAAACTAGTACTTCTTCTTTAATATTTTAACATCGTTTGGCTGCATACAAAATGTTTAATAACAAGCATTGCAACAAGCATGGCAGAAAGAACAATGCATGTTTAGAAAAATATATCTGCAAATGCATTTTTTTAGAATACACTACACATTCACCGAACCTCTACTCAATATTAAACATTTAACAATTAATAGTTTCACTGTGGTCATGGTAGAAAACAACACTTTCAGTTTCTTCTAAGAAACGTCATCCATAGGCTCAAATTACATCAATAGAAGGATGTGGGTAGACGTTCGGGTAGAACAAGAAGACAAACCACGCTGTCCTCATTCTAACTGGTGTACCTGTTTTTTGTTTTTCTTTACATTAATTACAAATCTTGCTTTCCCAGACATGTTGTCCAAAAAAAATAATAGTTTATCTTTAAAAAAGAAAAGAGAATACCGAACCGCACGGATACTTACTTAGTCATCAAACCAAAGAGCATTTCCTCATGTGATGAGTGGCCATGTTTTATTAGGCTCTTAAACGCTTGGTCATTCATAACCTGATTATTGAGTTGAAAGCAGATACATTTTGGACTTCTGTTTTCTGGGGTCATAGCAGAGTCAAAGTGAGTAAAAATGTTACTTCAAAACACAAAAAGAATGCCCACAAAGGAGTAATGTTTAAAAAACAACCTTGGATTTGAGCAAAAGAGATGAAATGAAAGTCAATTTCCAGGTTTGAGTAAAAGATAAAAGAACGATGGCTGCATCTCCGTAGCTTAAACGTAGCTCCAGTCTTCAGAACAGACACTTGTTTGTTTGTGGTCCTGTCTTTGAGGTGACTGCCCTCGCCGAGTGGAGCAGAGAAGCATCTGGCTGGCTGTTCAGTATCCGGCCGGGTAGCCTCCTTTCCTGGGATCGGACTCTGCACAGAGACGGTCTCCCTGCCGGACCACGGCCTGGACCACAGAGTCCGGAGTGTTCAGCAGCTGTGTGACATGGTTCTTCTGGACCAGCCCCTCCAGAACACTCTGCCAGAAATACAGGAATAGATCAGCCATGCAAAAGCCTTCAGCTCATGCTTCTTGCACATTTATAATCTTGAATCTCATGCAGAAGTCTTTGCATTTTATCTGCAGACTCCTACCATAACAACATTACTGCATCCAGCACTTGATTGAACCTGGAACTTCCTCCACCTGTGACATTTTTCACTCTGCTGCTGGTTTAATCAAAACTAATCCAACCCCATGCCAAACAGCTTAAATCCCTTTTGTGAAAGTCTGGAACTGCATTCCTTTAAAACTCCTGTCCTCATCAGCCTCTTTTAGTTGTTGGCACAGGGAAGGGTTTACTGTAATGAGCCTGCGGATACACTCAGGTCTGGTTCATATGACACCACCGATACAGAAGCTGTTAAATCTTCCCGGAAATCTCTTTCTATTAGGCTCAGAGTTGTCATAATATTCAAGAAGTCTAGTATTAACATAACCCAGTGTCTTCTAACAATGACACTGTACACGATGTGGCTGGAAAAAGACTATTTCCAGGAGACCAAGGCTCCTACAAACCAAGAATGTTCCATTTAGCCTCCTCCCCTCTGTGTGTTATTACATATTAACACAATAAGATGAATGTGTGAACCAGTAAAACACACAAGCTAACAATAGCAAAGCTGTTTTCAACCCGAGCCCCCTCCTGCAACCCACCTTTTCAAAGCCCTGCTCCACCACTGTCATGTTCGGGTTAAGCTGATTGTGAACCCGGGGCTCGGTCACAGCTTTCTTTAGGTCATAATTGAAGAACAAAGAGTTCAGGATTACCTGTTTTTGGAAAGACAATTTCACGTGAGTTCCACATAACTGAGATGTGGGTTCTGTCTGTTAAAATACAGGACCACTGAAACTTACTAAGGCGGTGGCTGTGGTGATTTTTGTTCCTCCGGACGCGCCCACAACCATTTTCACTCTGTTGTCTTTGTCAAAGATAATCGTGGGACACATGGACGACAGCGGCCTCTTGCCTGAAACAGATAAACAAAACTGAGGTCACAAGTTTGGTGCAAGAAGAAGTACCAATGTCACGATCCAGCTCCGCCATACCTGGTTGGATAAAATTGTTGGGCGAAGGAGGGATGCCGAAGCCATTGGTCATATGTGGAGAACTGAAATCGTCCATTTCATCGTTGAAAATGATTCCCGTTGATCGAGACCTGACTTTAGATCCAAAGCTTTGGAGAGAAAAAAAAAGGCTTCATCATGCTCACGCTTTACTCTGCGGTCTAGACTTTTATGCAAGCTTGAATATCATGAGTCAGAGCTGACACACTGAAGAGGATTCAGTGTCAGAATTCAGAAATCTTACTATAGATTGATGGTGCTGGTGGCAGCCACCGCACTTCCATCCTCTGCTATGACAGACAGGTGAGCTGTCCCGTGGTTGTCGGGTACAAAATACTCCGGCTCGTAGTAGTTGTCCGGGTGGGTGGTGTCGTCTGTAATTTTGCTCCTTATACTATCGGCAAAGTAGTCTGAGGTCATGTTTTGAATCAGCTGAAGGGGGTGCGAAAACGAGTCAGTTGAAGAGGATAAAATGAGGGAAACACCAGCTCCTCTAAAGTCTGGTGAAGCGAAACGTCTCATTAAAGACATGACAGCAAATCAAAGCGTGAGCACCTACATCGGTGATGTTGAGGTACCGGGGGTCGCCCAGTCTGCTTCTCTTGGCGTAAGCGAAACGAAAGGCCTCCACGATGCGGTGATAGGTCAGAGTCTTTTCCTCCGCCGTGGAGACGCTCGTGTCTGTGAAGTTGTACCCTGCAAAATGTCCACAAGGAAAACACGTGTGGATATGTTCCTGCTTTATCTATGAAGTGAGCCTCTCCATCATTGTTAATGTGTTAAATACCTGCTCTAACTCTAGTGGACATTGAGCTTTATCTGCATTTTTAAACATTTTTCCTGCATGAACGCATCAGTGTTATTCCTCATTCAAAATGAATACTGCCACTTTTCATTCCAAGAACAGATGGAGTGACGGAGGCAGATTCGCTTTGGCAAGCGGAAGCCATTTCCGTCTCCAGAACAGGCTGAATAGAGGAATATTCCAGGGACAACCTGGGGAAGCCTGACATCCTTTTCTTCTGCATGGCTGCACAAGCGCTTGACCGGGCGGCTCACCGTCCACTATGTTGAGTATGAGTGCCAGCACAGGTCCACTGGAGGGGGCGTCGGGGACGTGCAGGGTGTATTCCCCGACAGTCAGCTTCAGCGGGTTCTCATTGAGCACGGGTTGGTAATCCAGCAAATCCTCCAGGGTGATGATGCCACCTTGAGCACAAGCAAAGGTGTCACGGTGATTATGAAATGGAGAGAAAACGATCGCTCTCCGTCACAGTGGAGGAAAAGAGGGTAGAGCACCTGCCGCCTGGATGTCCTCCACGATGCTGTGGGCCATCGTCCCGTTGTAGAAGACGTCGGGCCCTTCCTCTGCTATTCTCTGGTACGTGTCTGCCAGCTTTGGGAATCTGACGATATCGTTTTCTTTCAAGATGTTCTTCCGAGAGTCGCAAAACACCTCACTGAAGGATGACAAAAAGAGGGGAAAGCATTCAAGCAAAAGTGCCTCAGCTTGAGGAAAATTAGACAGTGTCAGCCAAATTTCACCTAATTTTCGCCTAATTTTCACAGCCACACAGGTTGCAGCCACTGAAAAAAACTGCTCCCAGTTACAAAACTGAGATTAGCATGGAAAGAGAGAAAAAAAAAGTCTTCGACGTCTGTTTTAATGAGACACAAAATCCAAGCAGGAAAACAAAGACAGATGCATCGGCTCTGTTTGCTCATTGAACAGTGAAGAACTCTTATCATATTAGAAGGGAGGGTCATCAGCCTTACAGATAGATCATTTTTGCAGGCTGTTGCAGAGCTACATTTTTAGAGAAAATCCTCTGTGGCTCGGCTGTAATTTTCCATACACTACTATTACGGAAGAATCTTCCACTGAAAACAAAGTCATTTGAAGGCAAATATGAGTACACTGCCATTTCCAAGTTTGTACACCGAATACATCACTGGTAACCCATGAGTCAGTTTTAAGTTCATAATTTAACATAGAGATTGTTTCAGTTTTTATCTTTTAAAGGAAACATTTCATTTCAAAGCAGCAATATCTTTTTATATATTCTTTAAAAATCTATTGGGAAATCATGGACACTGTGTCCTCTGGGCTAAAGTTGGAAGGGAGCGTTCATAAAACATGACTGGGTTTATTACCTGCAGACACATTAAAACACAGAATGTGTCTGTAACCATTATTACTGAAATGTAAAGGGTTTCAAAAAAGATTTCATTCCATCCATCCGGTTCCACTGACTAGTGTTGGTGGACAAAGCCTCTAAAGTAACGCATACACATCCTGGAAACGGGCCAAGCTGGATGGTCCATACCCTACATCCCAATTGTTGCTGTCGTTTGCATCCAGGTGTCAGAGGCAGAATAATTCTCACCACATGTTTGCGTTCCCTTGAATGGAGTCTTTGCTCTTGAGGAGGGCATGGGCTAAGGCTTTTCCAATGGGAAACCCGTCCCGGGCCAAGGCGATGCTGGGCTCGAACAGCTCTTTCCATGGAAGCCTGCCGTGCCTTCTGTGTGCCATCTCATAACCACGGATCTCCCCAGGAATGCCGATGGACAATCCACCTACCGTGGAGAAACAGGAAAACCATTATTTTCAACTCCAAATGCTCCTCATCTCTGTACATTGGGAAGGACCACAACGCTAGGATTCGATTCGGGATTCCAATCCACAATTTGATTTCCTGAAACTGTAAAGGCTGTAAACTAGACCAGCTGTCCATTCTAACTAACACTAATCTGAATTTATGTTCATGTGACAGATGAAGCCAAACAGAGCTGATTAAAGTCGGGTCTGTGGGAAGGAACCTGTGCGTGAAAGCTTGGTGTTGTTGCCAAACATGTCCTCGCTGGCGTTCATGGGGGCCGTCTCCCTCGCATCGATGGTTTCCACCTTTCCTGTTGAATGCAAAACCAAACAGACACTCTCATCTATCTGTGTCACAATTACTAACTGACTGTAAGCCATGCCCTCACCAGTGGTAGCATTATAGATGACAAAGAACAGCCCTCCACCGATGCCCATGCTGTGAGCGTTCAAAAGTCCAACGCATAGCAAGGCAGCAATGGAGGCGTCCACGGCCGAGCCATTTCTCTTCAGAATATCCCTGGAAAAACACACGAGAACGTATTCACCGTCCCGGAAACACAGAACCAGCGCTTCCAAATGTAGAGGGTGGTCTTCTTACCGCCCCACTTCTGAACACCTTCCAGCATCAGCAGCCACCGCAGCCTTTGAGTAGAAGTGGTCTGAAGGGACGGGTGTGTTTTTCCTCCCCAGGCTCATAAACACCCCCAGGAACAGACTCACCGCAGCCACCAGAAGGACCACCAGGCCAGCAATCAGGGACTTCCCGACCATTTTCCTGCCCGGTAAAAATCAACACACGTCCTTCCACTCAGACAATCAGCTTTTTCTCAAAATCTCGCATTAAATGAGGTTGTTGATGAACACATTCTCTCACAGAAGTGCTCTCACCTGATATTTGTAAAAGCATGGAAAAATATAGCACAAAACGGACGACGAGCAGGTGGCTGACCTGTTGGAAGACTCTACAAAGAATACCAGCTGTAGAAGCAAGGCGCTGAGTAAGACTACCTTAAGCCACCGGTGATGCTGGTCGTGTCATCATTTGTTTTCAGGGGTGACTTCGCTCATGATAAACATGTGCTGTTTGTGGCAGGTAAAAGGGAGGGACAAAAAGGAAGGTTTTCTAAGGATGATTGTCATGGATTTGTTTTCTTGTGACTCTTTCAAAGTTGAACACATCACAATCAGATCTTCAGAGACATAATTTGATGGCGGGACATCAGTTTCTAAGGGGATAGATGCCCATCTTTCCCTTATCTGGAGTGACACTTTCTAGTTTGTCTTCGATACCCTGTCATGAGTGAAGGGGAAAGCGCTCTGCCTACAGGTACCAGCAGTTCCTGCGTGTTATTGGCCGAGCTGGCAGCACAGCCGTGCTCGGGAACCGTGTCGCAGTCAGCTCCGGCAGTTCCGCTCTGTTTGAGCTGCCTGAGTCTTCAGCGAGGAACACAGGTCCAAGCTGGCAGTGGCTTTACAACAGCAAACGCTCCTGTGGCACCTGAACTAATCCAGCCTTCACGCCTGTTGCCGGGCCACTGATAAACCCCTGTCAGCGGAGCCTGTGCTCTGCTGTTTGCCGGGTCCAAATCTGATCCCTTCTATCCTGTTTTGGATCTACAGGTTTCAAGGCCACCCCACAGACGGCAGTTTTGTTCAGTGGTCAAATCCTGTTCCTCACAACTCTTCAGTATCTATACACACAAGTCGCGTTTGCTCTGAAAATCAGCCACAGCGTAGGTCATATATTTATCCCTCTGCTGAAGGCCTATAGATCACATTTTGACTTTGCTGGGAGGGATTCTCTCACTCATGCGACCCGCCGTGTTTTTGCCAGTTGTATTTGCACAATAAAGGGGAGGCTCGTCCATGCCCACATGCACGGACACAAATCAAATCCCACGTTTCTGCTGGTGTTCAGTAGCAGGTAAAGCACAGACTGTAGAAACAGAAAATGCTGAGAAATGATAGCAGAGGAAAAGAAGGTGATGTCATGTGTTTTTATGAGCCACTGCAGTCCTTTTAATGACAGAGGCTCTGCATGCAAACAGTGATGCGTGCCACAAGTAGGTGACGTGGCTGTGCCCTTCTCACCAGAGATGTGTTTTCAAAAAACTGGCGTGAATGGAGAAAGAAATGCAGACACCAGAAAGATTTATTTTTTTGCACTAGCTTGTTAGTTAATGGCCAAAATTTGAAACAAAGTTAGAGCTCAAATCGAAAGCACAGCTGCTCGTGGTCAGTATCTTAATCCCCCATAAGATATGAGGGCATCCAAACAGCGTTTACGCTGTGACAGACCCCGTTCCCCTGTCTCTGTGCGTGACTGCATGCTTGCCTCACAAAGCTGGCGGTTTTGTCCTCGTGCCTGCTCTCTGTTTGACTCAAAGCAAAGTGACCCAGGTGATATCATAAGGCAGAGGCCAGAAAGGTCATGGTGCAGCTATTTTTACACACCGCTCCGGCTTTGTCAGCTAAGCACCAGTAAAAGCAACAAACCTTAATCATCAAAAAGAAAAGAAAAGGTTCCGTCCCCAGTGAGGAATTGCTAACAGTCTTTATTCTTATCTCTCCATGAGCAAAGCCATTCTCAGTATTTCTTGGAACTATCTTTAGTAATCAGAAGTATTGGCCCGGTTGAGGCTGAATGTGTGAGTGTGAGTCCTAAACCGGCTCACTTGTAAAGACGCGCATTTAGCCGGGGATTTGGTGTGTGGATGTCGCTGATGATGGGCTAAGAATTGTCAGATTCAAATGCACTTAAACTGATTGTGGATAGACAGGCCTGCCTGATTCAAGCCTGATGAGCCCCTCCATACCAGCAGCATAATGCCCAATCTACCTGCAGAAAATGAGCAGGAGGGATTGTCACATTTAACACATCATCAGAGGTTTTATCATCATACCAACTGCCAGGAGAATTAACAGTCTGCCAACACATGTTAGCAGAGTGGAGATGATATCTCAAATAAAGGGAAGAATTTCCAGGAAAAAAAAAAGCAGCAGGGATATCCTCGGGATGCAGTGAGGCCAGGGGAAATCACTGTTAGAGATCAGTGTGTGTTATTCCACTAAGCAAGGACAAGCCTCAATCATAACACAGAGTGAGGTCAAATCAGTGTCAAAATCCTTCCAGCTGCACGGAATACAAACACAAAGGGCAAGGAGCGGATAAAGAAACAGAGAGCTGTCTGTCATGTGGCTGTGTGCACCTTTGGGTTCCCCTAATTGCCCCCCGTGGGGCCCTGGCAGGAATCCACATGACAGCGAGACTCAGTCAGAACTGGGGCATGGATGTTCCTCAAAGTTGGTGTTGTGACAGATGCAAACCGAATTTGACAGCTTGTGTAATGTTTGACGGCGGGATTGCCAAAATAGATTAATATTTATATAAGGCCAGTGGAAACATACATATTTGAGCTGCTGGGGATAAAGGGAACTCTTTTTTTTGCTCTGTTGAGGGATTAAACTCCCCTCTGAGACTGTTGCCTGAACACATAAAAGCAAAGGGAAACCTTCCTCACTCAGAGCCCCATCACAACATGTGAGGTATTGATATTAAATATACTACTGACAGTTTTAATTATACTACTGTCTGCCGTGGAGCTGCACAGGGGAGAATTTCCAGCCCTGGAAGTGGGATGCTCAGCAGGCAGCGGGGGCTGTGATTGGTCGGACGCTGCACGTACACAAACCTAAACAGCAGCGTGAGGCTGAGAGATGGCAGGAGGATTAAGCAGCCGGAGCGTTTCCAGCATCCGAACCGGGCGCACGTAAACCCGCAGTGGGGAGAGGAGTCCGGTAACGCGCCAGAGAGAGTCGTGATTCATTTCCCCGTTTAAGGGATATAACTCATTTTTGCAGCTCTGCCTCGGATCCCCAGCCAGCGCCAGACAGCACGGCGCTGTTCTCTGACATCCACTAGAGGAGCGTCCACGGGCAAGGGGAAAAAAAAACAAAAAAAAAACACAGGGGCTGGCCATGGGCTTGTCCTTTTGGTAACTCCGCAGCATCACGAGCGCCGTGCGCACCCGCATCCACAACAACAGCTCGCGCCATGGGTTCCAGGCTCAGCAGGCAGAGCAGCCTGGACAATGAGAATTTCTCCAAAAAGCGACGCAGGCTTCTGGACGGTGCCGGAGAGGGCGAGAGGGGCAGCGGAGGCGGAGGTGGGGGGGGGGACTTTCTGTTCGCGCTCATGCTGAAATCGGACAAACTGCCCGGGATGCTGCGGAGGACCAACCACAGCCCGTACGCGAGGCGAGTGGCGTGGATCAAGGAGATCCAGAAGCTGCTCCGTGACCGGAGGATTGAGCAGGCGACCGACGTGCTCAGATTACTGAGGAAGGTAAGGGGGAAAACTGCACGGAAGAAAACAACACAAAGTCTGAAGCCGTGTGTACACAAGACGTGCACTCCTGGGCTGTTATGATGAAGGCAGAGCAACAGATGAGGAACAGTCCCTTTGTTGACCCTCTTTAGTGTCCCAGCACTTCCAGTGCCTGTCCAGCATCTTGTGCTCTGACCTTTGACCCCAGCCTTGGTTATCCCTCCAACCCTAACCCTATTCCCTCCGGATGATTTGATATACGTGGCTTCACTTTTTGGCGCTGCATCCTTGTTGGGCATCTGGCTGGAAAGTAGGCCACACTCAGAGCACTGTACCTGTGACACACTGTTTTCACGAGCCACTCAGCATGTGACTCACTCTCATTCGGGGGGAAAATGTGCGTCGTGTTGACATTTGATTTAAAAGAATAGCCTCCACTCCAAATGAGGAAACGGTCAAGCCGCATGCAGTGTGTCATCCCATTAACCCAAATTCGGTTTTGTCCGAATGGGACGTGGATATTTTCACACAAAAAAGAGACATGCATCCCCTCCACGTCTGCCCTTGTTTCCCCCTCTCTTTGGCAGAATCTCCGTAGGCTATTCTAATACTCCATAACAGCATCATGTCCCCTTTTATCTTTCCTCATATTTAATGCCTCTCTTTCAGCTCTGACAATTCAAGCCCTTAGAGCAGTGTTTTTCCTCAGGAAAAAAAAGATTCCTCGGCAAAAGGTTTTATTTACTTATACAGTGAAGAAGAAGGTCAGACAAAAGAAAAAAAGAAGCTAAATTGAAGCTACTGTCTGGGCTTCAGTCTTGAATTATGTTTATTTTGCATGAGCAAATTTCTAAACCTGTATACCACATCTAAAATGCACTGAAAGTCCTCCAGCTTTTTTATATTTTATTATTTGTTAATCTGAGGTTTGAACTGTTTTTCTCCTTCAGGATTGCTGCTGAAATAGAGTAAACAATGTTTTATGTTAATCAGAGTTTTATTTGGTTTTCCTGCAAGGCTTTTCCCATCTGCTGTGACACATTGAATTAAACTATATTGAATAGCATGCAGGTACATCATAGATGGAACAACATCCATTGGGATCTCATTTGTTCTCTTGCTCTCAGGGCTCCGCTCTGTTTTTTTAACCACGAGCCAGTCCAGTTTTAATTACACTGAAGTCTTCACACAGGAGAGACTGGAACCTCCTTAGTTAAGACGAGGAGATAAACTGCATCGCCCGGGTTCCCTGACAGCCAAATCTTAGGAGACCTGATATTGCTTTCCCTAGATGAGCTCTACTTCTATTAAAATGAGCCATGCTTATTTGCAGGTAGATGTCTGCCTGATCTGAAAATGCGTTTCAGTGCAATTATTCCTGTGTAACACTGAGTTCTGCTCCAGATGTGAAGAGGACTGGAATTCGTCTGCAGATGTGAGAAGAATTTGCAGCTTTATGTCATGCCTGCGAACGACTATTAATTGTGTCGAAACTCAAACAGGAGCTATTTTTACAGCTTGTGTCTCTGAAAGGCAGAAGCTGTTCCTGCCCCCGCTTTGGGTTCAGTCTGTGTTTACTGCTGCCCTTGTTAAAAAGGCTAGCCCGTAATGTGGAGCTGCCAGCCTCCCACTCAAACTGTCTTTTATAATCAATGCTGAATGTGTCGGAGAGAAAAGAACATGTGCGGGGTTTTGTGCGCGTCGTGTTTCTGCAGGTTTTGTGCACATGAAGTGTCTCAGAGGCTTTATTCTCCTATTAAAGCTGCACAGGCTGCACCAGCGCTTGCCATTTGTCTCATTAGGACCTTGAGGGTGGACATGTTGACGAAGGCAAATTGTGCCGTTTGGTCCACACAGCTGCAGCGCCGACTGCTGCGTGTCTCCACACGCCTCAAAGGTCTTCTCAGATCCTCTGTTCAGATGCTACGTTTGAATTTTCACAGCAAACCCTTTTGTTTCTAAACCTGTGTGAACACTGCCGCGTCAAGCAATTCTAAATCAGACAGGGATCTGATAGACTGACATTTACATTTACGAGATGTTTTGATGTTTTGATGTGCCTCTGCCATATATTCCTGATGAGATTAAGACTGATAAGAACGCCTCTCTGTTATTAATATGATATGGATGTCAACTACGATTGCAATTGCAGGTGCATTTTTCAGTTTCTCCTGTAAATTGTCGACTTATCCATTGTAATAATGTAGGCTATGCAGAAATGTTAATAAATTAATAAATCTATAAGTTAAAAAAACCCAACAAAAGTGGATCTTAAGAGTTTAGCGTATGATTATATATGCCAAACATTCCCAGCGACTCCCACTATCTTTCACTGTCCAACTGTAGATGAAAGGCTTGCTGTCTCCTGAATATTTAAAGCAAACAGCTCCTTTTATCTCTCCATTTGGAGTCACAGTGCCCTTGACACAAAACCTATTTCTACTTCAAGTGCTCTACTCATTTGCTTTCTGGAAAGCCATACAGCGAAAGTTGTGGTTGTGTCTCTCTCTCTCTTCTGTTGTTTGACATTCCCTTTTGCTGTGTTTATGATCCCTTTTATTGTTTCCCTGCTTTTGTAGGATTTGGGCTTGGAAGGCACCTCGCTTAATGACATCCTGTACAAAAATGCTGCCTTCCTCAATCTGGTGGATCCGATCTCCCATGAGCTGCTGCTCAGCTTGGCTCGAGAGATGCAGTGTCCAAAGAAAGTGAGTAATTTTCCTGTGTTCTGTAATATTCACTGAACATCCACTCAAATTAAATAGTTGATGCTACTATTCGTAAAAAAAAGAAAAAAGTATCCTGCAAAAGACAGGAAAGTTATTTTTAGGAGGTAGTGTTCTCTTCAGGGAGATTGCAATAAACTCAATCTATTAGTTACGCTATTGTCTTTTGGTGTAGAAAAACAGCAGTAACTCATCCACGTGATTTTGTCCTGTCTGGCTTCTCATAGAAGACTGACTTTTCTATATCAGCAAAGTCACCAGCAATCTAATGAGCACATATAACAGCGTAAGTGGTTTTATCTGCACAGCTAGGAATTATTCATTTTATACTACCTACCCAAAAAATGTGACTACCATAATATTTCTCTGCTCATATGAAGGATACCATACATGCATGCTTAAATTTTGAAGAAATCAAAGAGAACGTTCATTATGTAAAGCCCAGATCATGCAAAACAGTTTACTGCCTAGACTGTTCTGACTCTGTGCACGCAGACAGAGTCTCTATTGAGGGCTGCTGCATCACACTCTCTTTTCTCTATGAGCTGTTATTAACACTCTTTTTTGCTCTCCTCTACAGGATGCGGACACCATAAAGTCTTCCGATAAGATTTGTAGACAGCTGATCTACCACCTGACTCCACACTCAAAGTGGCTGAGGCAGAGCATGTCCAGACGGAAATCCCAGGCCTGGTAAGCCCTTCTGTCCAGACATTCTGTCTGTAATAAATCTGCAGCTCTGCACAACAGAGGGCAGCGCTCGGCTCCACGTCGAGCAGAAGAGATTTCCATCTCTGTAGCTGACATTGAAATAGGACAGAACTGGCCAGGGGCAGGTCTGACAGAAACATCAACCCCAGCTGTCAGTGATATTTCTTCTAAAATGCTATTAGCTTTTTCTCTCTTCAAAACTGGCAACAAATGTTCCCATCTGTCTTCTGGAGGAAATCTTATCATTTTAGACTTATGCTTATTTCAATTAGGAGGCCAGTTGCATTTGTTGCTCAAATGAAGACGATGAGCTTGTGAAATAAAATTCCCTGTACCGTAGTTTATCACATTTATAAATAGAAATCATTTGTTTTTCATACGATTGCTCGTACACACTGAAAACATGTAGTGGGATAAAAACTATATGAACCTTGTAGTCCGTCAGGGTGATTGTGACTCATGACTCAGTCGAGCCGTCAGTACAGAAGGAGATGAAACATAAAGGCATATTCATCAGATTTGGGTGCAATCACACACTTTGCTGTTGATCTCTCAGAGCTGTGCCCTTTTGTGCCTTTAGGAAATTAAATGAAGCACAGAAAAGGCTGAATATTCATCTGTTCCTCACAATATTTCTAAGACTGTACAGATACATTAGATTACTCAAATCCTCTAGCTTTTTTCTCTTAGTCATGATGCAGACTTTATAAATCTTCAAACGGATGGTCTGACGATGGCTGAGACAGCATGAGCAGCATGAATGATTAACACAAAAATCCACCCTAAAATGGAATCTGAAGATGCTCTGTGGGAAGACAGCTTCGCTTGTTCACTAACAAATAGCTGTCAAAGCTCAGAAGAGAGAAGACATTCTGCTGCTGACTGTGAATAAGAATTTTCCCCTCACAAACCCAATTTTGAATCTGTGTTTATTGTCATGAGAAGGAGCACCTGGATAAGGGTGTGGCAGCTTTCCGTCTTCTGTAGGACCAAAAGGTTGATACTGCTCTTGTATGTGTGTCTATCTTAGCTTTTCCAGAATGTTTTTCTCTCTATCAGAACCTCCAAAGTTGTCTAAGTAGTATACTACAGATCTTTTTATCCCACAGTGAAGTATTTTCAGCCCAAAACATAACTTAAGGAGAACTTGAGAGGTGCTTTTCAGTTCTTCAGAATTGGGGGGTTTCTCTAACAAAGGCAGCACAGTTGTTTTTGTGAACATTATCCAGTATTAGTACTGTAGTGCACACATTTCCGGCTGAAATGCCACATTGAGTTAAAACCTGAGCAGTACAAATCCTATTAGTCTGTATAATTGGTCTATTTGGATTTGGCTTATTTTTTAGAAATGTAATTAAATACTGTACAACAATGGGCTCAATGGTGGCTATGTGAAAGAATGCTGCTCTCATTCACTTCACCTGAGCTTAAATGTGGCCTGTACTTTGTGAAGTGTTTTTTTGGTTAATATTTCCCTGCTATAAGAGCCTAATTTGATTTCAAGGAACCATGTCAATTGCTCTCTCAGGCAAAAATAGGTAAACCAGATATTTCAACTGAAATAACCGAAAGTAGAAACAGGCCACTTGTTTCTAACATTTTCACCTATTTTAACATTTAGTAGTAAAGATGAATCTGTTTATCAGTACACTAAACACAGTCAAGTTTTTTTCTTCTGACTAATAACTTCCGTTTTAAGTTGTACGTGACAAAAATGTAGAGTAAGTTTCTCTTCTGAGTCAAAGACAACAGTGGGGATTGACATGCTCTTCGGTTCAGATTTGTGAATTATACATCCACCACAAACAGAAACTGGTCATTTGACCATATCACAGTGGTATTTCAAAGAAAATGTCGCCTCTGTTTTGTTGGTTTTTTACTTTGAAGGTGAATTTATGATAAACAGAATATAGCAAAAGATTCAGTGAATATATAAGTTAGGGGAGCAGATGCAGTTGGACTGCTTATCTCATGCCAATTGCCCTCCCCCATAAGAATACTAAAACAAACTATGGAGTAATCACAGAGCACAAATGGATCTTCGAGGAGGGTGTGAGTAATGCACTTATACCCCAGAGGGGAGGTAGCGAAAAAAATGAATTCCTTGAAAATTGAATTTTTAATGACAGCTCTCTTTATCCAGTAAACAGGATCAAAATATATTCTCCTCTTGTTCAGGAATGTCATAATTTTTCTTCCAGTATTTCAATGAATGACAACATCAATTTACCTTTAGGGTTTAAATACTGCCCCAGTGCACTGCTCATACTTAGAGTCTGAGTTAGAACACTTTATCAAATATAAATCCAATCGATTACTATTGGATTGAATTAATATTCATTAACAAACTTTGATAGCTTTGCATAACTATTACTACAGTACTGATACCATTCAGATTCAGTGTTAAGTGTTGTGACCTAAATTTGTCATTTTTGGACATCCTTACATATCAATCCTGATTACAACCACTCCATATCTCAGCACCATTTTCTTTTCTTATATGCCCCTCAATAAATCATTTTTGTCAGTCACAATGGGCCCTGCTCTCAGCTTTTTTGTGGACGTTAAAAAGAAAAAAAGACACCACCACCTCCTCTCTAAGTCGTCAGTGTCATCTTAGTTTTCTAGAAGCAGATTAAACCTGAGAAAGGATGAAAGAGGCCCATTATTCCTGAGCTGAAAAGGATGAGTCCGTCTGAAAAGAAGAAAGTTGTGTGATCAAAACCTATTAACACCTGGATGACGCCTCTACCCTGGTCATTAGGACGTTTCGGTGAAGATGAGTTTTTTGTCACATAAGAAGCCACATGGGCTGAACTGAGACTTTGATAAAGACACATTGAGCTCGACAAATATTTCATCCCGAGACTCTGATTAAACTCTCTGTGAGCCTGGCTTCATAAAGAGGTTATCCACACTTCTTTATTCCTTCTATTATTGTTAAACTTTCGAGATTATTCAAACCTTTAGCTCTTTTTTAAAGTGGCTGAGAGAACTGCTGCTGAGGGCGCATCTATTTTCAGTGTGACCACCACTGAAAAAGTGACAGGTTCTGCAGTAGATGTCACTGTAAGTGCAGGCACCAGAGGATGCTTTAATTCACACTGACACCACATCAGCATTACGGGCCACTTCCGTTACAGCTCAAGTTAAATGCACCTCAGCACCCTCCCGGGTGGGCGGAGGCAGGCGCCAGTAAATGGAAGTGATTGAGAACAAAGGAGTAAAGTAGAGAATAAATAATGGACACAATGCCATCTGTAATGTAAAGCAAAAACTGTAGTCACTGCAAAGTTTCCCCTTGCGTTCCAACTCTGGTGGTAATGCGCAGTGTCCAGAAGGTGTTTTAAGGTTATTCTAAGGATTGCAGAAACACGGCAGATGGCAATCCTGGACAGAATACTGTGTACTTACAGATTACATAAAGCTCACTCTTATCAGACATCGTAAAATCAAGAAACAAGAATACCAAAAGCTTTGACTGTTCTTCGAATAATCAATTTTTTATGTTTGAATAACCGATTGAAAACATATGGCACCCTTGAATAATGGAATAGATCTTATACGTTGTTCCATTTATGTAATGCTAGAGCCAATAGATGACCCATGATGACTTAAAGCAAACATGTTTTATACATTTATACTCTAATTATACAAATTAATATCAATGTGTATTTTTTAGCCTTATATCAACCAAAAGAGATTCATTCAGTCGTATTCTGTTAGATTTCCTCCAGTGTGTGCATAATCAGTATTTACATAAGAAGAAAATTATAATAAACAAGTACACATCAAAGTGCTGCATGACCCAGTTACCCACAGAAATGAGCTTAGATGGAGATACGTTGTCCCTGCAGTTTATTTGTCTGTCAGCAAGACTATCACTTGGAGAGGTGGAGCACCAAAAAAAAGAACAACTAATGCTGATCTGGCTGACTTTCCCTTAAGGGCATTGGCCTTGGCTGAAGATGTGTTGTCAGACACTTACTCTTGTTTAGAATGTTGTCAAGCTAAAGTGCGGGTCCTGATGCAATATCAATACCCATTTACTTTAATGAATATTTTATTTCAATGTGTCTGTTCAAGCTTCACAAATTTCCCAACTTGATAAACTTGTTACAGGTTTTCTTCTTCATAATAACAAAAATGCCATTCTAAAAGTCATATTTCATCACTTTTCTTCCCAGAGAGGTTATTATTAAAACTTGGTTCTGGACTTGGACTCCAGCTCATTTTATGCCACAGGCTATAAATTTCTGTATGAAGTCAATTGCAATTTCACATTTTTAATTAGGTCTTTACTAATCTTATGATCCCATGGAGGGCATCGTGACTCTACACGCAATATATTAGCCTGCAAACCTGCAGAAAATCTTCTTCTACTCAAAGACTAATTACATTTTTGGTTAACATTTCTCTAGCTCTGTGTTATAAGGAAGTTTTTGCCTCTGAGCCTGAGAGCCTTCAACTCAAACTTCTGGTTTGCTCGGATGTTTTGGCTCCTCTGTTTACATTGGTAAATCCCCACGCTGGAGTCACTATGTCAGCCTTCCGCTCCAGGCTGGTCGGCTCACCCCCTCTTTTGCACCAAACAGGAGGCATAACATTCTGTATAATGGGCTTGTACCCAAGTCACAGTCAAAGATCCACTCACTCCCCTTCATTTGTGCATGTTCAGAATATCTACAGTCATATAAGAGTTCCTACAATATCTCTTTCATTTCCCCACAGTCTCAAGACAACTCTACAAAAAAAGCTGTCCAGTGAGAGTGTGGATTTGTCCGGTATCCCTCTGTCCTCCCGGGATGTTCGGCAAGTCGCCTTCTATCTCCAAAACAACAGGGACAGTCTGGTGGCGGTGGACATCAGCTTTACTGAGCTCCATGACGAGAGCCTGAGGCTGCTCCTGCCCCTTCTTGCCTCCCTGCCAAAGCTCAGCACCCTTGCTCTCAACGGCAACCGTCTCACCCTCGCTATCCTTAAAGACATTACCGAAATGCTCAAAGAGCCCAAGAACTTCTCCAGCCTGGCGTGGATCGACCTGGGTAACAACGTGGACATTTTTACTATGCCTCAGCCCCTGCTGGTTGCGTTACGCCGCCGTTGCAGCCTGAAGAGCAGCCTGCCCACCATCTACGAGTACACAGAGGGCCAGCCCTACTGCTACCACCTGGAGACCTCTATCGAGGAGCCCAGCCACTACGATGAGGAAGAAGAGGAGGAGGAGGAGGTGGAGGACGATGAGGATGATGTGGGGAATAAGTATGAGCTGGAGCCGTGGGGTTTAGGGGAGAAGCAGCTCTCAAAAGAGTTCACCCTTCACTACTGTGAGAGGTGATGCAGTATTTCCTCTCCAAGGCTTTTTTCAACTGTGGTTGAAATATTGTCCCACAGCACTCTGTTACTTCCTTCGACTTCTTGCCCACACACCACGAGCCCAGTCACCCTTTGAGGCATGAGGTGAGACCAGTGCCCACATTGTGAACCTCTCGACCCGACACGGCCACCAAGCCATCCCTAAACATCTCTGAGTTGACCCACCCAAGATAGTGAAAGTGACGCGACGACCAGGATGGCAGACTTACTGTGTTGGTGGATGGCGCTCTTGGGAACAAGGTGCGGTTTCATTGGAGGGGGGCTGGAAGAGTTAATGAACCAGTGCTCTCTCTTTCTTCTTCTGTTTTCCCCTCTACCACCCCACCACTCTGTCTGTGAAGGTGGCTGCTGAGGAGCGAATCTCGAGGAGATTTAGATCAGTTGTCCGGATGGAGGAGCAGCATCCCAGCTGTGGCCGAAGTGGAACTCGAGTTAGTTTGGAAACAGCGGGTCCCTGTGGGTTCTCTACCAGGACTGAGACTATCTCTGGCAGGCAGGGCCTAGCTCCACATTGTGTGTTCTCTGTTAATCTCTCAACAAAAGCTATGACACAAGTTCAACAGACTATACAGCCGACAACCCATCACGTGACACTGGCAAAACTGCTAAGTCGACTTTTTGCGTTTTCCCCCCCTTTCCAAAAGTCCACTTGTGAATGCCCATGCAGCCTCTGTGTAGATGTAAATGAGGACACAAAATGTGGCTCTGTTGTGTTTCCACGGCCTGTTTTTGAGCACTTTGGTGAACAAAGCAATCTTAGAAGACAACAGGTAGGACTCAACAATGGGTAGCTGTCACCGACTGCTTTTGTATTTGCCTATAAGCTGATATTCACCTCTTTGTAGTTATTAAGGTTTAGTTTATCACCACAGTGTCCCGTGCATTTAAGACACAGAAGCCAACTGTCAACATGGGCTACCAAGCCTACCAACTGCCCTTGGAACTGCCATTTGTCTACGCAGGTGTGTTGTTATTTTCATGAAATGTACCTCAGTGGTCCTGTGTTAAGATAAACTCCTGTGACTGTTATTTATCGGTTAGTGTCAGTCTGCAGTAGCATGTTCATTTAGTTTGACTGGTTAAAACACTACAACACTCTTTAAGCCGTCACGTTCAAATGTTTCAGTTTGGCTGTCTTGTAATTTCAGTATGCATTGTTTATGATCAGATATTAGCAAAGCAGGAGCTGAAGGGAAATATATTCCAAGTTAATATGGATCACATGGGTCACAATGGTTCAAGGGATCATAAAAAAAAGCATCATCCGATATATAATCAATGTTCAGTGTGTGTTATATTCGTTTGTAAGAGTAACATGTCTGATTAATACCGTGACTATTTGTATTATTGTTTTGGTGTTTTGTCTCCGGTCCAAATCCGTAATGGTAACAACTATGAAACTGAGCCTAGTGTCCAGCTGTAGGCTTTAGCAGTAGACAAAGGGTAACATGATGGGATGAAACAATAAGCTAGAAAGTGTTTCAGTTAATGTAACTCACAGTCAGAGCAGACGCCATTTTTGTGGAATGTTTAACCTGGATGTCCCATTGGACAGGTGCCAGTCCGTTTGGTTATGTTTCATGTGTCAGTGTCAAACCTTTTCTTGTTATAGCCTCTGTGTATTTGTCTCATGCCGAACAAAAACTGCCAATAAAAGTACCAATCCAAACTGAGAAGTTGTGTCTGGTATGAATTTGACAATTTTCTTAAAAAGTTAATTGAACTGTTGCATCATCTGGATCAATAGGATCCTGCACACAAACAAACGTGATTGATTTATGCAGAATAGTCTGTTAATAGGGCTAATAAATAAAGCCAGCTCAGACCGTGCTGTTTGGGATTTGAATTTTGGGAATGCCGTACTTGTTTGTGAGCCAGCAGATCATCTCTGCCACTGTGAGCTGTCAGGGAAAATGCCTGAGCAGCTGCCATTTGCCCAGGAAAGGTAAGGTGGTCATCGCATGAAGCCCTACCCATGATCCTCTCCTGGCAACCTTTTGTTCATGCTGCCAGACATGGTAATGTGGCATTTGCAACAGGTGGCTCCTATAAGGTCAGGGCACAGTGTGGCTGTCACAACCCCTGAGGTCCAAATATCATGTGACATGGCAGCCCAGTCCACCCTGTAAACAACATTATCTTCTTAATGTTCACTCTCAGGACATACTCAGCTCTATGGAATACTCGAAAAAACAACACATTTTTATTGTTTGAAGCAATGGTAATAGTAGGCCTCCAAGAGTTATCATTTATTCAGTCTCAGGTGACTGTAAACTGTTGGTCAGTTGTCCACCACTAGAGTGTTTGCACTATACCATTGCATGCAGTTCACTTCGTGTTTCTGTGTGCATTTCGCTAGTTGCCACCTCTCCCTCTTTTCCTTTTGCATTTCTGTTTCTTCAGCTGTAGCTTTCTAATTTGTGTCCACTGACCCGACCAACACTCTCAGCGGTTCCTGATTTCTGTGTCTCTTTGCACATCTTTTTAACCTCCTCTACACGGATAATACCCACAGCAACTCAGCCAAATGCTGGTTTTGTCAGGCTTTTCCCATTGCAGGGGAGTTTTTCTCCACCCTGCTGTCAAATGGATGTTCCAGGCTGTGATATTAGGTGCCCCCAAAATGACTTTTACGAGGACTTGATGCTACTTAAATAAACTTCAACTCAATTGAACTTCAACCATTTAATTGGATTATATTGCTCCAGTTGTTGCGTGCTCTGGCACAAAAATGGAAAAAGTCATTTCTGATAGAAGCCTAGAAGTTACTGTGGCCACAGTGCAGAAAAATTGCTGAACAACTTTGATTTTAAAAGCAATGATCCAAGGTACTGACTCCTAAAAATCAGGTTTGGGCCTTTTACACTTGATCAAACATAAGAACAGCTAAACAGTCTTTAATCGTCAAGAGTAAATATCCATCCATCCATCCATCCATTCTCCTCCGCTTATCCGTCAAGAATAAATAATGAATCCTAATATAGCTCCTGGTACTTTGCATTGATTAGGTTAATTTTAACCATGTACTCAGCAATATAAGATTTAATCAGATCACAACAGATTATAGTGTATAATACATATTTATGTGACATTTATTAGACTGTAATAAAAACTCAAAATAGTAATTTTGTAAAAATCTTTTGTAAGAATGGAAAGTAACAACATCAGCTAGGGAAAACCTTCAGTCCATTAATGCACACAATGTAAAAACTGTTTATATACTGTATATTTATAGAGTATAGAGCATTTGTGTATTCCTCTATGTTACATTTTCATTGTGTAAAGTATTTTCAATAAATCAAGACTACAATTAGAATGCTGAAAGAAAAATTCCAACGTGAAATGTGTTAGATAGCAGACAACAGATAAGAATGACTTATTCACCACTAATATAATCTCTTGTGTATTAAGGACTTCTGTAAAATGATGAGGTCACTTGTATGCAAGTGAAAGAAAAAGGATTGTGTAAAAATGGAAAAAAATGACCTTAGACATAAGAAAGGTACAGGCTCAGATGCTGTAACAGGTAAGAGCTGTTGTTTTTTTTGCACAGCTAAAACCCCATGTGCAAATGCTAAGATGATGGATCCTGTTTTCCAGAGTGTTGTTTGATGACTCTCCAGCAGGAAAGACATCTTTTGCTACAGTTCTTTACATTTTTCAGGGAAAAACTCAGAACAACCCACAGCTCTGACTCTTGCTCTCAGTAACCGGCTGCTTCTCCAAGTTTCCTGGCATCAGACACTGCACAGAGGCAGCCATCCACCTTCTCCACAGCATTAACCACGTTGTAGAATTTTTTTGCTGTTTCATGATTGTGCCCCATAGCTTTAAGAGCCTCAATCACACGCTGAGGAGGAAAGAGGAGAGGGAAGTTAGATAGAGCGCTAGCAGCATGCTTCGTTAAAAATATAAAAGAACGACTTGAATGTATTACCTTATCAAAGCTGGGCTCAAACTTAACTGCATTTTGAGAGTCTACAAAAACAACAGGAACAGCAATTGCTTTCTTGAGGCTCTTTCCAAACCAAAGGTTGTTGATTAGTGCCTGGAATATAAAAAACACTTTAATCTCACAGATGGGAGGGTTATGATGATTGTAGAATGGATAAAACCCATGAGGACAATGACAACAGGGAGAGGCATCTGTGTGCATCTCTTAATCTTAAAGGCACTTAGTGCGAATGCTTTGGACACGTACAGAGGCCAGCCCCGTCGTGATCATACTCCCACCAGTCGATCCAATCACCAGCGTTTTTGTCTGAGACTTCAGCACAGTGGGGCTCATGGAGGAGGGAGGCTGCTCCCCTGTGAACACAACAAAAGCCTTGACTGACAGGACAGACAACTGCGATTCAGGCTGATCAATGGAAGGAGAACAAGAAGGAATGATTATGACTCCAATCAATGGAGTGCCATGGCATACTGTGCATCGGATGGGGAAAGGCCTCCATTTAATCCAAATGTCTGTCTGTACTTTTGTTCAACATAACCATCAGACTATGTTTATTCACTATAGGCGTCGTCATGCACGCTCAGGATCAGCAGAATTGAAACTTCAGTGAGTCATTCTCACTTTCCATCGCAACAGGCCATCTTTTGAATTTTCTATCTGGTCTTCATTGAGGGTATGTTTGATATGCTTTACATGACCACTTCATTTGCTTTGTTCCTGCTTTCTCTCCTAGCCTATAAGTGTAATAGTTTGTTGTTGTTTTTTCTGTCCTAAAAGGTTTGGCACTGATTCCAGCTGCTTCTGTTGCTGCTGTCAGACAACAGAACAAAAACTATGAGAAAACATGATTTCACCTTTACACTCCGAACCAAACAAATTTGGGAACAAGTGACAACAACGCCCACATATTTGTGGCTGGATCTTCGGTAGAGGATTGTCATGCCTTTCTTGTCTGATTCTAACCTCTCGGCAGCTTGAGACCTCCCGCTCATATTTTGCATTTGTTGATATACCAAATGTCTTCAGTGTTCTTGAGAAAAAAGATGAATAGAATAGAAATAGAAAGACTGGCCGCATCCCTGAATGTTTTTTTAAAAAGCCATGCTGCAATAACAGATGCAGTGTGTGTTTTAGTGTTGTCAGGTTAAATGTGTGAGACTTGCCTAAGAGAGACGTCATCTGGATGGGAACATATGCTGTTGTACCACCTGTATGTACTTTTCAGCCTTTACGGCGCCTTTCCGGTGATGCACAAAAGCACTCCCGTACAATGAGCTGAACACTGAGGCAGAGGTTTCTTCTCTTTAATCCAGATGATGCTCCGGCCATGATTTTGAACAATACTTTTCAACCGATTTTTAAATTCTCATCCAAGTATTCGGCCTGTCATGGAGCGTTCACCCCGCCTCGTGTTCACTAACAGCTGGGATACGCTCCATTTATACTTTACTTCCACAGCTTTTTGTTGAGATGTGCTGCAGCCATCAAACTAAAAATGAGTTGATATTTGTCATAAATATTAATGTCTGGCTTTCAACGTTTTAAATGCTAATTCCGCTCAATTTTGAATGAATGAATTAAGACTAAATCAAAACACCTTTAGCACATCTAAGGCCAGTTTCTTTTTAAAAGACATCTGAATTAGAGGGGCCATTGTTAGACCAAATAAAGGAGGTGTTTTTTAGGCTGAAGTTGCATAAAGAGCTAGAACAACAGTGACCAGCTAGAACAAGAGTGACCAGCTGAGTGACCAGCTGAGTTGCAGCTCTGTGGATGTGAAATCTGAGACAGAGATGCTTTTGGCTCAACGACAACAACAATTACGGGAACCTGCCTCCTGGCAATTGTGATGCAACATTTCCTGCTTAGCAGGTATGCAAAACCTGTTAGGCCGGGAAATTACAGATGACACATTCAAACTGTTACTTATCATTGATTACATATTCATTTATCCGTCTGAAATTAACTTTCAACAGAATCATTGTTGTGAATGCGGTTATTCCTTTCATGCCAGTGCCTGAGACTTTGGCCCAGCCCTGCAGCAGTTTTATTGTTTGCTCTACCAAATTGAAAAAGGCGCTATGCTGGTTTTATTACCATACCAGGGAAGATGCTTTCAACTCTTCCGCAGAAGTCAGACAGCTCGTTGTTGAGGATGATTCCAGTGCTCGGAGAGACGACTTTGGAGCCAAATCTGTTGAGAAAATGCAGGAACTCTGTGAACTGGAGCAGTCTGTATCACCAAGGCGCTCCTCGCACGTCATTCGTTTTTTGCAAACTCTGCCGTTGCGAAAAGGTTTTTTATTTGTGATGACTGGAGTCTTCTTTTCAAATATCCTCTCACCAAAACACTTGTCCCATAATCTTTTAAACCTCCATAATCCCTGTACTTTCATACTAGCGGTGGTGCGTGATGGCTTGTTTCCAGGTGTGTGGTGGAACTGTTCAGGTACTAACATGTGGTTGATGGTGCTGGTGACGGAAACAGCAGATCCGTCTTCAGCCAGCACAGACACATGTGTGGTGCCCAGGCTGTCCAAATATCCGCTCATATTGTAATACGCAGGATCATGTGTCTTGTCGCTGCTTATCAAACGCCGTATGTGGTTGGCAAACCTATCCTCTGTGAGATTCTTTGCCATCTGTGAACAGAAGAGGACATTTTATCGCACACACATACACACACACACACACTGAGGAAAAACATGCATAAGAAAATGATTCAATCAGAGTTTGAAAGGGATTTGCAGCTTGTTTTTAATCCCTTCCATCCATCTTTCAGTACTATTTCTATCTATCTGCCCATAAAAGTTTTTTGTTCAAATCATCCAAAGAAACAGGCATAGATTAAGCAAAAAATGAATAATTTAATTGTTAAATCAAAAGCCATCCTGAATTATTCAGTAACAAAACTGAAATATTTAAATCCGACTTATGAATAACGTGTCCAATTTGGAGGCTTTTCTTGTATTTAGAAAAAACAAAGACATAATCTATCCAAAAATCATTTAATAGCAGGTTATTTCAACTCAAGCTCAACTATGAGAGTGACGTTTTTAGGCCTACACCCTCACTTCATGTCTGTTAAATCAACATAACACCACAAAGAGGAGTTGAGAAAAGACTAAGAACAGCTGTAACTAAAAAGCACTTTTATATTTGTTATTCTAACTGCATTTTGTCAATAAGACTTTGATAAACACAACTAGAGCACATTTACAACCTATGCAGAAATATTCTCTGTGAGGGGTTTGTGTTACTTACTTTCTCTGAGCCAAACTGTGGGTCTCTTATCTCCCTCTTAAGTCCGTTGGCGAATTTAAAAGCTTCAACATAACGGTGATAAAACTGCGTCTTTTGATCCACCGTCAGAGGATCTGAATTCATCTCATATCCTGTAAATAAGAACCATTGTTTATTTGTTTTTTCAAAGCTTCTATATTTAGCCTAACCTATTTCCTAAGATTAATCATGATTAATTTTTTTGCTCCAAAAACACAAGCCAGTGAAAACCACTATATTAAGATTAAAGCATCAAATGCAAAAACAATTCAAAGTGTTAATCGGACTGTCCCTGTTTAAAACATGGATTGAGTTTATGATTTGTAAATGTGGCTGAGCAGACGCTCTGTCATCTGTGGCCAGCAGGAACCTTTCATGATATTGAGGATGAGGCTGAGGATGATTCCTCCGGCAGGTGGTGGGGGGATGTACATCTGGTACTCTCCCAAAGGAACAGCCCACGCATCAGTCACTGTAGCTTTATACGATGCCAAGTCCTGCAGTGTAAGTGTTCCTCCTGAGCAAAAACATTCAAACAAATGCTTTCGGTTGAGCAAAACCGGACAAAACCCATCTCAGCGCCACATAAATCAAGACTTGTAATGGCTCTGGGCTGCTCACAATGCAGTCTGAGTGATCGCTGCGGCCCTTCGCAGAGGCAATTGATTTGTTCATTTGTAATTAGATCATTGTACCGGGCGGGCGCTGAAAACCGAAAAAATCCCAGAACAGAAAGCGTGATGAAAGCTATCAGACAATACCTGCCTCCTGTATGTCACGAATCAAATCCACCGCTATTCTTCCAGTGTATAAGGTGTCCGCTCCATGGTTAGCAATCATCTCCAACGTATCAGCCAGTTTCTCAAATTTCACAATGTCTCCGGCCTTTAACAAGTTCCCATTTGCATCTGAATAAAGGTTCCTGAAGGACAAGCAGATGAGGGAAAAGGTGAAAACTTTTCTGCACCTCCTATTTCTGAGCCGCCCTGTGAGTCATGCTGCCCGCCGCACCGTAGGGACTGGGTCTCGTTGGTGTCAGTGTAGGGGATGTACCGTCCTTGGACTTGAGGTATGGGGAATCCTTCCCTGGCCATCTGGATGGTTGGCTGGAAGAGGGAGGCCCAGGGCAACTTTCCATAAAGCTTGTGCGCCTTTTCGTAACCTCGAATTTCTCCAGGAACCCCAATCCATTGGCTACCTGGATGGATGAATAAATGGACTTAGTATGGAAGTAAATATGTGCCATCAGAATTTGAATAAAAAATACCTCTGAAATTTGAATGTTGTATATTAGTGCTGTAAATGACCAGGGCACTGTCTCCACTTTTAAGGATTCCTCGTCATAATATTACTGTGTCCAGTGAAGTTAAATGAGATGATTTGATTGAACAGATATTAAACTGAGAGATGGTTAATTGCATTGTTTCACAGGAGAGTTTTATGCTGTTTTTCTGGTAGCTCGTGCTACTTGTTAAGCCTCTGCATCATAAGTACGTGTTGTAACTTGTTGCCCACATATCATCTTGTTTTGGGTTTGTTTTTTTCATCCAACCAGAACTCTTAAATTAAGCAAAGGCCTTTCCTAACTGAACTACATTCTTATGATACAACCTACACAATGTACTTCCTACTTAAAAAGGCTGAAATACAAGTCAAGACTAGATGAAACTGCCCTGCCACAGTGTGGCCTGGGCCCACAACTATGTAGGGACTACAGGGCCTCTTAATGTAATCAAGCTCAAGTGCCAGGGATCCAGGACAAAGAGAAGGGATTTCCAGCTCCAAGAAAGGACCCGCAGGATTTACTGTTACTGACAAATACCACAGGCCTTTTCTTTTAGCCATTTTGTGCTATGTTTTGTTTATGCTGATTTCATCCAAGACATTGTAACTGTAAGCTGCTATATGGAGAGAGAAAAAACAGAGCAGGAAAAACAGGAAAAGCTCCCAGCACTCATCAGGAAATCTGTGATACACAGGAGCAGCAGAGTACCTGCCAGGAGTTGAAAAGTCTTGGGACAAGACTTGAGCAGATCTGGTTTCACCTGGGAGGGCGCCCTCTCTCTGGAGTTGATGATTTTCACGTGACCTTTGAAAGGTTCAGAAGTGATTGGTGAGCCCCTCGTTAAGCTACACGTGCTGTGGAAGAGTAGGGGTTGCAAGAATGTGTTTGTTACCAGAGCTGTCCATCACGGTGAAAATGGAGCCCCCTCCAATCCCCATGCTCTGCGGGTTCACGATGGATGTGCACAGCAGCGCGGCAATGGCGCCATCTACAGCGGAGCCTCCTCTTTGGAGCATGTCCCTGCAAGATATCACCGCTCAATTCCCGTGGCAATATATTGTTACTGTATAGGAAACGTGCGAGCGCCTGTCTGTGTGTGTCTGTGTGTGTGTGTGTGTGTGTGTAAATGTTTCCTGGTCAATGTAAGACGGGCCTAAATCCATATCACCCAAAACATTTGCATTCTTTACCCACGTCTTTGAGATTATAGACAAAGTTTTGTAAACAGATGCCGACTAACAATGCTTGGACTCGAGCACTTTGGCTAAGCAGATTTCAAAACTGGAAGCCTATTATTAGGTATAAGAGCTACGTTTGCGCGCACACACACAAATAGTGGATGGTGTGCGTAAAGGGCCACTGCTCCTCACAGGGCTTCTCTTGACAAATATTGTGGAATGTTTTGAAACCATGATTAAAGTATTAATTGCCACTCACCTTCCAATCTCCGAACATTTCTTTGAGTCTGCAGCCACCGCAGCATGTGAAAAAGTGCCATCTGGGCATTTGCGCCTCACAAGGACAGCCACACACACAATTGTGGCCACCAGGCAGAGCAGCATCAGTGCGCAACAAGTATATACCCTCGCCTTTGACCTCGCCATAGTTGTGTCTTCTCCGCGTATCCACAGGGACCATTAGAGTTTCCTCTATCTACTCTGAAATATTACAACTTAACCGGGGTTGATAAATAACTGCGTTCCAGGATCACCCACCTCCCACCGCGGAGCCGGGCTCCTCCTCCCGTCCGCAGGACTGAAAGGGTGGGGAGGAATGTTTTACCAACCGAGCCACATCTACATAGATCCATCGGTCTCTTTACAAAGGATGCGTGTGTGAATGCGCAGGGAAATGCAAATGACCTGAACATGTCAGAGTTAGCAGGTATGTGTGGGTGTGTTGTTTTGTTTTTGGTTCTCAGAAATGTTAGAATACATTGACAAAAAAAACTACTTTTTTTAACATTTTTATTCAGGGTGGCAAAGTCCCAGAATAATACATATTCTCACAAGGAATGGAAGCAGCATAGAGCTGAATTATTTTTACATGTTGGACATTTCTTTGCAATTTTATCATAAAGGAATAAACCTTCTAAGTATGTTTTATTTTTCAAATGACTTAGGTCTTTAGGCTTTTTTCCTGTGCCAGTTTTCCCTTTGATATCCCTCTGCATTATCATATAGGGTCGAGATATTGAGGGAGAAAAAAGTTTGATCCGAAGTCATAAAAGCACAAAGATTTACAGACGATCACTTTTAGTGGGGGATTTCTTCCCAAGCTGGCTGTTAAATAAGTACACATTAGTTCAAGGACTAATGGTACTAGGTATAAAGTATTACGTTTATGGGCTACTATGGAAAAGACAAGGCTTACATCTACTTTATTTGTACAGCTTAGATAACAAATGGAATGCCAACCTGATTCATGGAGGTCTGCTGAGACGTGTTTGGAAAGTGTCACTGCTTTAGTGTGTCACAAACCATCTCCATTCAGACATAATAATATGATGATAATGACTGCTGTGATCGACAGACGCCTTTGAAGCGGTGCATCTTGGGAAATGCTGTCTGCAGTGCAAATCAAATGGTGGTCGACGGGAGTGCTGTGAGAGGCGCAGGAGAGGCAGACAGAGCGAAACCGGAAGTACGAGACGGCTTCCTTCAGGGCAAAAGAAGCAGGACGGTGTTTATTAGGAGCTTTTGAAAGGGACTTGCAGGACAATTCGGAGAGCTGGAGCGGATGAAGTCTGCCTGTGCAGCCAGCAGTCAAAATGAACCAGCTGAGCATTTCTACTTTAAGCAGGTAAAGTAAACTTACATATGCTTAGATACAGGAATGATTCGTTCATTTTAAGATTATTGGAACTAGTTGTGTCCCAATAATGTTCTGTTTTAGACTGAATAGTTGAAAACAAGAATGGGAAGTGTAGCCTATGTAATTTTGTGTGTTTTATTTATCACTGTCACAGGTTGTGGATTTTTGCTTTGTTTCACAACTTCTGAGTTAAGGGATTGATTTTGTGCCCTGGCTTAAATGTCTTCGTCTCGGTTAGTTTTTCTTTCTCCTGTCTAATTTTCTTTAAAAATACAAGGATGTGTTAAAAGAAACTTTCAAATGAGTTGATTGTCTTTTACTACTGTCGCACAGTTTTATACTGTGAAAAGAGTCACAATTCACAATTCAATCAAACAGATAGAGTGTGGCTCATATCTCTTGATCATTTTTCTTGTGTCACTGGCAATAGAGTGATGAAAACATTTATATATATTTTAAATAAAGTATAAATAGAATAGTCTGAATGCTAATAAGAACAAAATATGTCAGCTGTTGGAGCCAAAACAGCCAAAACAGAATTGGGGAATAATTTATTTTGGCTTAAAAACCTAAAAGAAGCTAATTTATAGGTTTTTTTTCTTTAGCGAAACACTACAATGCAAAGTGAGTCCTTTAAATCTGAGTTTGAGAAATATCTAAGAAGGATGTGTAACTATCTGGATCTACAGACTCTGGAGTGTAACAATTGGTGTGATTATCCTTTCTATCCGATCTATGTCCATATAATCTTATTTTCCATTTCATTTGCTTGTCACGCCAATGTGTCGAAATTTAATTCCTTGTTACACTACTTCTTTGTCAATAAAACATTTATTCTGAAAAGACTGACCGGAAACGCACAAATTTCCCTTTGTTTGCTTGAGGCTGGTCGGCTTGCATCGCCACGGAAGCGTCAGTATTTACACTAATATTTCCAGAAGCCTACCCGACGCTGCCGGCAAAGCCCGGGCGGGGGATCGAGCCGTCGGTATAGGGCTGCTCTTTTCTTTTTAAAATCTTCTTTCTCTGCTGATAAACGATGGTGTTGAGTGGCAGTTGGGACTTTTTTTTGGACGGGAGATTTGGAAGTGTTTCCTGTGATGTGGAAGAGTGATATCCGTCTGCCCGTGTGCACTGCAGTGGTGCGCAGCTCAGCCCTGGAGGAACACCTGTGCGCCTCTCCTCTCCTCTGCTCTCCTCTCCAACCATGAGCACCCGATAGGTACGGACGCGCACTTGTGCACGAGTCAGCGCACCACACATCCACGCGCTACCAGAGGCGTGGACGCGGGCTGGGGGTACTGCCATCCCGACGTGTGGCTGATGCGTAACGCGCTCTGGTCATGAGTTTGTGGCCCTGATGGCAAAAAAAAACTCCACTCCTGTCAGCCCCGGGAGGACCCGGAGAAATAAGACAGGCTGTTTTTCCTCCCGTGGCCTTTCGCTTGATGCTGTCTCCTATTAGGAGCGAGTGTGTGGGGTACATGTGGGGGCGTCTTGATGCTGCCAGACACGATGTAGGGGAGGATCTGTTGGAGCGGGATTACAGGACCATTTTTGGTGGGAGCCCATCGAGGAGTTCTGATCCACAGTTGACGCATTGCACTCCTCCTTTGTGGCTGCCGGGTCCATTTGCATTACATAATCATCATCATGTAATGCAGCCTTCTTTTTTATACTCAACATGCGACTACACAGGCTACATATCTATCCCCCCCACTCTTTCCTCTCCAGAGGATCCATTTATGCAGCTCCTGCTGGGCAGCCTATGAATGCCAATTATAAATGTGGGTGGGTTTCAACACTGTTTACGTTTACATAATTCACTGGCCAGCGCGCGCCTGTTTTGCGTGGTGCTCAATAATACAAAAGGGAGCGATTCGTGTTAAATGCAGCAATGTGCCCGTGACTCATGGCTTTACACAGCGCAGCACACTACACAAATTGTGTTTACTGTGTGCAGGCATTTTGAAGTCCACAGCGTGTGTGGGTGGGCTTTCAGCAGGCTCGCTTTACATGTGTTGAATGCACCCTGGGAATGTGTTGTCAAACCTAGGAGGAGGATGCCTTTCACAGCTACAACCCAAAGACCAGAGATGCCGGACATCGTAACGAGTCCAGTTTGTGGAATTCATATCACTTTCAGTATCCTCCTATCGCTGATATCCTCCTTTTTGCTTGTCCCCCCTTTTTCTCCTTCTGTGTTTTCCAGAGAACTTGTAACCCCGAGGCGCGGCGTCTGCATTGGTCTGAGAGAACAAGCGAGGGAGCAGCTCCAACGCTGCGCAGCCAAACGTCATGCGAGGAGCAACCTTCCCCCGCCGCAGAGCGCTGAAATGTTAGACCTGAGGAGTGAGAGTGTCAGATCAAATCAGCAGACTGTTTACATCAGAGGGGCCCGTAAGAGCCGCTTGACACCAGACTCCACAACGCCCCGCGTGTGGTTTAGGGCCTCTCTCAATCACAATCCAGCGAAGACGAGCTAACCGACCTTTCATCAGCACTTTATATTTCTATCAGATTCAGCAGTTCGGTCGGCGGCGGAGATGGAGTGGTCACTAGAGAGTGTGAGGGAGCTGGTGGCCGGAGGGATCCAGTCGGTGCGGGACTGCGAGGTGTGCGCTCTGGCCGTGGCCGTGTGCGTGCTGCTGCTGTTCATGTGGTACTGCTACAGGGTGGGCCGGGAGCACGGCCCCAGCCCGCTGCGGGGGAGGTACCTGCCGGGGTCCGGGCGGATCGGCGGGGTGGTGGGCGGCTTCATGAGCTCGGACTGCCGCGGCCGGGGCAAGGGCAGACACGGGCCGGGCCTGGAGGAGCAGAACGGCTTCGCCTTCTGCCAGTCGGCCGAGTGCTTCCGCTGCGCCAGCGCCGGCGAGAGCCTGAACCAGCGGCTCTACCACAGCCTGCAGGAGTACGCCAAGCGCTACACCTGGTCGGGGATGGGCCGGGTGCACAAGGGGGTCCGGGACCAGGGCCGCTACCTGAACAGCCGGCCCACCATCCAGCGGCCGGAGGTCTTCTTCCTGCCCGACCTGCCCTCGGCCCCCTTCTTCTCCAGGGAGGTGCAGCGGCACGACGTGGAGCTGCTGGAGCAGAGCTTCCCCGCCCTGCTGGCCGAGTTCGAGAGCATCTACCACCAGCCCCCGGCCCGCAGCGGCTCCTCCCTGCCGCCCGGCTGGAAGGCCAACAGCACCCCCCGCGGCCAGTGGTGGACCTACTACCTGGTCAACCAGGGCACCCCGCTGGTTCTGAACGTGCGGAGGTGCCCGCGGGCGTGGCGGGTGCTCGGCCAGCTGCGGACCTTCATCACCAACAACGTCTTCGGCAACGCCTGCTTCTCCGTGCTGACGCCCGGGGCGCTCATCACCGAGCACTACGGCCCCACCAACGTCCGGCTGCGCTGCCACCTGGGTAAGAGAGCCGCAGCCGGCCGGAAACCGATTCGGGCTCGGCGTGCGTTTAACCCCCTCACGGGGGCAGATCATTTCACACATGAGCATGCTCTAACAGAAGGAGCCACAGAGAATCAGCTGCCGGCGTGCGCAGACTAGAGTCCCGAATTCTCCCGAGTAGCGACAGCATTTGGCTGAGAGGTTGTGACATAACAAATAGGATAGCAGAGAGCAGTGCATGCGAACCATTAACGGGCGAACGTGTTTCCCCTCTTAGGTCTCCGAATACCTCCATCCTGTGAGCTCGTAGTTGGGGGAGAGCCACAGTGCTGGTCCGAGGGCAGCTGCCTGCTTTTTGACGACTCCTTCCTCCACAGGGCTTTTCATGAGGGTAAGAAGGGATTTATGCTGAATTTGTTTCTCTCTCTCTCTCCCTCTGTTGCTTGCATCTGCCAGTTAAAAGAAACTACCTTAAATCACAGAATAGGCTGACACATGAGGAAAACAAGAAAAAACTACACTTCCACATGCGTTGGATTGGGGCCCCGGTTAAATGTCATGTCAAAAAAGGGGTTGTTGATGTTTCTGCTGCTTTGTTTGTGCATGCAGGCAGCCCAGAGGACGGCCCCAGGGTGGTGTTCATGGTGGACCTTTGGCACCCCAACGTGGCCGCTGCTGAGAGACAAGCCTTGGACTACATTTTTACTCCAGGCCGTTTAGAGGACAAGGAAGGGAAATAGGTGTGAGTGAGAAACGGTGTCCGAACAAGAGACAGATGGCATTAGGGGGAAGGCTGTGAGATTGGGGAGACACACTTTTTCTGCCTCCAGACCAGCTCTTATATTCACTGTGTACATATTCTCCAGCTCACACAGTATTGCTCATAACTCTTCCTTGCATATGACCAAACGTTGGACTCCTTTTATCAGTTCTCTAGTTCCGCCTGTCTAGTTGTGTGAAATGCAGCCATATTTAAAAGTGCACTCTTTCCTTTTTCAGAACCTTGAGTCACGTGGTAATCCGTGCAGCCATGTAAATAGTGTGTGATGATGCAGGAGCAGGGGCGTTTTAACAGGATCTCACGGCATTGTATATAAAAAAAAAAACACACTTCAGCATGCCATTTCTGTGCGTTTTAAGCTCAAGTTCTATCATTTATCCCTGTGAAACGGCACATGATACGGTTATGTTTAAGGCAAACCTACTCAGCAGGGTGTCATCCCACGCGCGTGCCCCGTATTAAATGTGTTGTAAGTACACGCATCATGAACTCGCATTAATCATGTGTGAGTTCATGAAACCAGGCTGCATACATTGGCTTAGGTGGACCACTATTTTCTTTTTTTGTTTTTGTTTCTTTTTTGTCAGTTTGGATTACTGATTTTACCGAAGGATCAAGGATGTGACTGAATGCGCACCATGATTCATCCCTAATACTGCAGCAGAACAGCCTCTATGAATCATTTCTATAATTTCATATTTATTTTGGTTTTCTCATTAAACAGCTCAACAGTATGACCATGGAGAGCAAATCCAAAATGGCTCTAAAATGTCCCCCGGCGGGTTTTTTTTCTTTGTTTTTTTTTCTGTCTTTTTTCTTTTTTTTTTCTTTCAGCATGGTGGATTCACAGGCCAACCTTTTCTATTAACTATTGATGAGGTGGAGTTGTTGGGTAATCATTTATCAGCTTGGAGTTTTTCTTCCCCAGCCTTAAGACAGGCCCATGGCAACATGTAACACCTGCATACACCTCTGCAAGGGCTAAGAAATTTAGTAATTCAACTTTTTTATATTTAGCAGAATCTAGATTCAGATTGTTTGGAACTTCAGTGTTCACATTTTTATGAATGGCTGGGCTGTCATGCTCACAGAATGTTGATACTGTGTCTGTGATTGTAATAGCCATTATTATTTTAAAAGGCCCCAAAATAATTGAATATATTGCTTTCTTTTTGTTAAACTGCTGTGCAAAAAGGCTAAGAAGCACAACCAGGCAACCAAAGTGTCCGAAATAACAAGAGAGGGATTCTTTTTGAAATTTGAAGCTTTTATTTAAGTCAGGGTCAATGGGAATCCTGACGCCACTGGAAATTTTCACACTCTCATTCCAAGAAAAACATTTTGTAGAGAGTGTTACTTTAGTCTTATGACAGTAGCACAAGATTAGTTTGGAATGAATCTGTCCACATGTGGTTTGATAAGTGAGGTCCAGTGTTGGTAGTGACGATCCTGATTTGAATGTTTACAGATGCAGCTGATGTCTCTGTCCTGACTCCTGGCGTGTGCTCCCCTTTGCTTTCACACGACATGGTTAGACAAGCACATTTCAACGTTAAATTGTGTGAGTCAGCCTTTGTTGTGACACTGGAGATGATGTGTTTTTGTTTTTAAAAAAGGTTGAAACTCGTTGGTCTAATTTGGTCGCATTTGATATCAAGTTTGTATTTCTGTAAATACGGCTGAAGTGGAAAAAATACACCCTGAATGGTCTGAGATGTTTTGAAAAATGACTGTCTTCAGTGCTTTAACTATTGTGTTGTCTTGATTTCGAGCTAAAGTGATTGCAAGTTCTTCTCCGATTCAAAAAGCCTACCATGAAAATGATTTCAAGTAGATTTGGTTAGTGTACTCTGTAAAAAGTTTCTGAGGTACTCTCTGTTGTTCTGTAAAATTTTTCCATTGTTTCTAATCACTGTAATTTTGCAGCACAAAGTCATTTCCAATATAGAAACCACAATTCTTAATTGTATGATTATGGATATATGTGCACAGTCTAAAAGATCAGAAACCTTCTGCTGCTTTACTTGTCCACTGCAATTCTAGACACACATCTATTCTGTTCTAATGTTTACAAAGGTGTGATCATTTACACGCTGTTTACAACGTCAGATGGCACTGACACTCGCGTCCATAATTGGGTATGAAATCAACAGTGCTGCTAATCCACAATAGAAAACTGACTCTAAAGCATTGGCTGTATATAAACTGTAAGGTGGGGCAACCATTTTGTTTACATTAGGAGTAAGGATTTGTCCTTGAACACATTCTTGTGTGGATTTTGAACAGTATTTCTGTACATTTAATAAATGGTCGAGTATCTTATTTTACCACCAGTGTCAATCTTCTTACTTTTACACAAGCCTTGCAGATCGGAGACCAGACTTCAGAGCACACATTTATTCCAGTCCACTCTGCTGAGGGAAGCTTTTTCCGATAGATAAAGATGTCTGTAGAAATCCCACTCCAATATTGATTATACACTTGCATTACTGTGGAGGTATTGTAAGTGAATAATCAATACGAGGGTGGCTTTTCCACAGCAGACTTTATTCCTCTGAAAGCTTCCCTCGGCATAGTGGAGAAGATAGAATGTATACAAAGATAAAGGAAATGAGCAAAATGAATTGGCCTTTTTTTGTTTATTATCTAGGTGCAGTTCTAAAGAAGTTGTCCAGAGAGGCAGAACAATCGTAAATGTTGCCATTGCTGCGATTTTCTCATTATAGCAAGTCATTTTCTGTCGCCTCAGTATTTCCAGAAGAGAATTTGAAAGCCAGCAGCTTTTAAATTGACTGCCTTCAATGAGTACTGCTCTGAACTGACAAGTTATAGTTTTAAAAAAGCCTCCAAGGGCTTGTCAGACCCAAATACATTTGGGCTGCACGATTTTGCATGTTTTGAAAGATCTAAAAATGTTATCCTACTCTGCAGTTCTTGAATTATTAAAGCAGACTATGCAGCCAATAAACAGTTACCAAATTATACAGGAAAGATATAGTTTTAGCTGTATAGATTGATATAACAGACTGATTACAGGCTCCTGTGCAAAAAAATGTAGCTGAAAAACATCTGCGTTGATGTGTTACCGGAAGCGTCATTCCTGGGGTCTGTTGTCGCATCCAAAGACTTCAGGAGTTTAAATTTACATACACTAAATCATGATTTTTAAGTTTAAAGTACCATCATTAAAAAATATCATATAGCTCTCATCAGGCCTTAGAAATATCTAAATCTAAAATCAGATGACCAACAAAAGACCATATTTCACACAGTTTTTTATTTTATTTCGTACCAGTCTAAATGCAGATGCTGTGTGATAAACAAAAACACATCCCATACTTAAAGAACACATTTAGCAGCAACTGACACCCTTTTAGAGAGATTTTGCTCCACTGTTGAATTAGCTGATGTTTGGATGCATTTGTACTGCTCGGCTCCCCTGTGGCCCTGCATAGTGTCAGGTTAGACTTTGGGTCATAGTGACCAGTCAAGGTAATGCAGCTGTGTGTGGGATTTTTGTCCCGTTGTCTGAACCAGTTTGGGTCCATGTGCACATTGCCACATCAGAACTGCTTGGCAATTAGTATACTGATGTTGTTACAGCCAAATTTCAGCACATTGGTCTGCTTTTTCCAGAGGACTATCTTGTGGTTCGTTCGAGTCAACTTGAAAAGCTCTGATACTGCTTTAGAGATAATCTGGCCCATATCTAACCATGGGACACTTGCTTTCCAAACATCGTTACTGCTTTATATCTTGGTTCTAAAAGAAACTTAAAAAACAATGTAGTGTGTAATGTATCACATGTCCAGCGACTGAGATATTTTTTACTTTAAATTTAAATAAGATAATCATATGATTGATAAAATGCCCTGATAGATTTCCTGATAGATTTCAGACAGTCGAAAATTGCGAAATGAAAATTTGTATTTGTTTTGTAACCAGTTAAAACGTATCTGCTTCTCTGCTTGGGGTTGTGGATTGCGTCTGCATCCTCATGTGAAGTTTGCGTGTCAGCGGGCTTTGACGGAGGGCTTCGCGGCCACGTCAGCCACAGAAACCTTCCTGAACAGGTGACGCGCTCTGCTGCAGCCTCTGTGCCCCCCACTGCCCCACCCCCCCAGCTCCCCCCCCACCCCGCGCAGCAGTCAGCTGCTGGAATGGGGCTCCGCTCACAGCGAGCAGGCTTCACTCCGGAACGCGTCTGAGCGGCGGAGGGGAGGAAAAAAAAAAAGATGACCGATCCTCGGAGGCGGACAGGATCAGAGCCGCCGCAATGAGCGCCTCCTTCCCCAAATCCGATTCCACCACCTCTCTCCTGAAATCGTCTTCGGCTCCGAGGAGACCGACACGCCTCCCCGAGCAGACAGCCGACAGCCGGAGAGGTCAGCACCACCATCAGCATCAGCACCACCATCAGCATCAGCACCAGCACCAGCACCACCACCGTCCCGCCGGACTCCAGCGCGGCAGCAGCGGAGTGGACGAGTCCTTCTGGTCAGCCGAGGGGGACGTCAGTGCCCGGAGACCCCTGTGCCACCCCTCGCTGGTGGCCAGCCCGGACGGTAGTAAGAACGCGGCCACGCGGGGCAAGTGCAAGACGCACGGCCAAGCGCCCGTGGCCCCGGAGCCCGAGTCCGAGGCCGGCCGGGGGGTGAGGGACCGCTGCAGGGCGTCCAAAACCGCGCACCGCCACCACCGCAGGAAGCACAACCGGGAGGAGCGTCCCCCGGTAGAGGGTCCCGAACCGGAGCCCCCCCGGCGGTGCCACACGCTGCCCCACGCCGCCCCCCGGGTGCCCTCTCTGTCGGACAGCAACGACGACCGGGCCCCTCTGTGTGAGCCGCGGGGCCACAAGGGGGGCAGGCTGACCAACGGCGGGGGTCACGTCAGCAGCCCTTCCCCGTCCTCGTGCTCCTTCGTCCCGCTGTCCAGCAGGTCATCCCGCCGGTCACGGAGGTCCAGCGCTGCTTCCTCAACGTCTGATGTCAATTTACGCACCATCCTCAATTCCCTCTTTGGTCAGGTAAGAGCCTGGCATGTGTGTGTGTGTGTGTGTGTGTGTGTGTGTGGAGGGGGGGGGGCAGATAAAGACAGGAGTTCATCCTGAGATAAACATCTCCAGTACTACTGAATTTGTTGGCCTTGGCTTGAGATTCAGAGTGTGAAAGCCTGGGTATTTCCAGACAAGCTTTGAGAGTGATGTCCAAAATCCTGATTTATGTTGTTTACATCTTAATTACAGAGGCTTACAGGTGCGTTTGTTCCCAGGGCAGAGAGTTAAGGGCTCAACAAAGGAAAGATCGGTGTCCAGCAGCCAGGATCCATCAGAAACGATTTGTCATATATTTCAACATGACTTCAGTGCTAAAGTTTGGCTTCTTAATGTTAATTCAGATATGAAGTGGTAAAATGTGACCTCTTCCTTCACTGACTCCACTCTGCCATCAGCACACACTGACATGCTCTAAGATGCTGTCAGCAAACAGTCATTACTGGATACTAGCTGTCCATTCCTTATGTAATTTGTAAATACAGAGCTACCTCCTACAGATTTTCTCAATCAGGCAGATCTTTCTGACTGAAGTGGATGTGCTGGGGCAGCTAAAATATTCCAGCGCTGCAGAGGTGGGCATCTCTGACGTCCTCTTACCTATTTGGTTAAAGGCAAAGCGTGTGAGCTATATCCATGTTTCTGCCTCATTCATTCAAGTCTGCCCCAGTGATTGTGTTTTTTATGTTTTTTTTTAAGATAATCACCCTGATGTTCCTGCCAAAGATGGAAGCTCTATTTTGAGCCACTAATCAAAAAAGCAGCCACATTATGTGTCTGTATTCTTATCAGTGCTGCCATTTTGATTAATTTAGGCACAGTGGAGGCTTCGGCTTTGTTTCAGCATGTAAAATCCTCTGTGTGCTCCAGCTTACCACTTAAACCGCTGATAATGGGGTGTTTATTAGGCTCATTCCATAGAGGTCAGTGCTTGCCTCCATGTACGGTGTGGGGGTTTTATCAGGAGCTGATCTATTTACATTACTAAAAAGAGGGGGCTCCTCTTTTTTTATCCGGAAACTCTTTTGTGAGTTCACGAGAAGGATTCCATATACAAAAGCATCACCGCAAGCAACCGGTGAGCAAGAACCTCGGGCCGTTTCTTTTGTAGAAATGAGAGACCTGCTGCTGACGGTGAGAAGTTCAGTGACAGGCAGAAAAGGCAGCGTTCGGTCTGAGAGCCACCCACACCGCTTTGTGCGAACAATACATATAAAGAAAAGACTGGTGTGTGTCTGTAGGTGGTGCTTTAACAGGCCGGTGTGTGTTTTATACATATGAACTGGATGAACGTTCATCAGGTGAATCCTTACTCGTGTTTTCTGTGCATACGTGCACAGGTGTGGATAGCCCGTGGGTGCTTTGGCAGCAGCCGTGTTGGAGCTCATTCTGTGGCTGTGGCTTGTGTGTTGTAGCTCACAGTAACCTTGCCTTCGCCCGCAGAGGGCACAGGATGAGTGTGTGTGCTGGTGTGTGCTGAAAGGAGGCGCGAGGAGCAAAGAGATCAAGGCACAAGCAGAAAATGTGAACAGGAGGGGGGGCAAAGATGTTGTCTCAGTAGCGAGTGCTCTAGAGAAAGAGCATGAAAATATTGGAAATAGGTCATCACAGAATGTTCTTTTGAAATTGCCCTTCTCTGGATTTTTGTCGCCCAGGAAGACCAAACACCTTCGCAGTGTGTGTTTAAGCGCAATAATAACAGGTGCACTTTTTCATTTATGAATGCCATATTGTATTTTCCCAGGAAAGGCTGGAGGCTGTTTTCCTGTTTGTCTTGTTTACTCCCATGTTTGCCGCCTGTGAATTTGTGCAGAAGTGTCAGGCCTGTTTACAGAGCCACCAACAGTTTGGCTGGTGAGACAGCTGCGTGACATATCTCTCACACATCTCTTTTCCTTTAATAGGCATTATTCCGTTTCCTCCCTTGGTCTGCATCCCTCCCTCGTTTGCTTTCTCACTTCCCCCCTTATCTCCTCCTCCCCCCATCTCACTCTCAACCTCTCTTTGGTCCCGTGTGTCTCCATTCTCTGCCCCAGACACTGTAGTGTAGTTTAGTTAGTTTTTTTTATTCTGCTGTAGGGATAGACTAGCACCCCCGGGCTTCATGGGTCTTGCTGAAAGCAGAGTTTGCATTCGTCTCAAGACCCAAACTCCAACCCTTATGGTGGAAGAGCCCTCATGGTCATATTTGATGCCTTTTTTGTCCTTCGGAATGGGAAACTGCTTGGACTGGCCTCTGAGAGCGGTAAGGCTGCACCTTTACACGTCTCTCAAAAGTCATTGATATCTTTCCATCATTCTCAGCAGCCGTTTTTATGTTGAACTTGCAGTCATGCACTGAGCTGCATACCTTTATACTTCCCAAAAGAACTTTTTAAATCTATACTAAAGAATATGGAATCACTGCAAACTGTTGTTGCAAGAGGTCTATTTCAGGTTTAGATAAAGAAGTTTATTCAGAGATTAACCGTTATATTGTTTTTATGGCACACTACATTTTCTGTAACCTCTCCACTATTGAGTTTAATCATGTTTTAATCCATGTTTTGGATGAATTATTTTGAATTTTGGCAAACCTGTGTAGTGCAGCAGGAATAATTTTCTAATGAATACTTCATGTCCCTTAGAGCAAAAAAAAAATTGTATTTATGTCCCTGTTGCATAATGTCTTTGTAGCTTGCTCCCCTGTGTTTTAACTGGCCTTCTTTCTGCCTCTGAGTATGTTTACTCTTCCTGTGACTCTGTATAGGTGTGAGGTGCCAGTCTATACGAGTGGCAAGTAAACTGTTATGAGCAATGACTGGAAAGTTGGCGACCTGTTGTTTTATGGATGTATTTAGGCCACCTCTCTGTCATGTCTTCATATTTCTTACATTGTTACTGTTATGTACACACTTCTATAACGCACACATGTAAAAAGGAGCTGTGCTACTATATGAAAAGAATTTGTGCCTCAGAATTTAGTAGGATGCAGTCTTGTGAAATAGAAAGTTCACCCTTTTTTAAATCTAAAGTTTATTGAATCCGGCCACAGGTCTGAAGATGAGGAAAAGGTATCCTCAGATAAACAGCAACAATTCTTACAACTCTCTTTATTTATTCATCAAAAATAAGCATGCTATGAACTGATAGTTAATCACAACATCACAGAACATCCCTTGACTGTTAAGCATTTTTCAGATTAGACTCTCATCGACTTTTCACACGATCATTGGGAGGGCTTCTCAGAGCCCTGCAGGCTCTGACTTTGAGGTGAACTAAGACATTCACTCCAGAAAAGACTGTCAGTCATTATGAACGATTTCCACTTCTAGATAATTCTTCTCACTGTGGAATGATTAGCTCTAAACAGTTTGGGCGTAGCTCTTGGACATGTGTTGCTGGTTTTCTACTGCTGTTTTTCTCATTATTTTTCCCCTGATGAGGACCACATGATTGTTTTTAGTTTTTATTTTTGATCCAAAATGTTTTTTAAGTGAAAGAGGGTGTACTTTTTTTTCACATAGTTGCATGTTACAATTTTTTTAAGGAATAAAGAAAGCGTGCAGTCATTTTCTTAGATTAACTCATTCTGCTCTGTCTCTGCACACCCATGTTAAGATGCTCCAGGATGTTGAGAGGAGACTCAGACTGGTCCTATCATGTGAGGAGATTGGCCACACAGGGTATCTTGGGCCTTATCAGGACTCCATTGTTTCCATGACACAAAACTGCGTTCTTATGAGCAACATATTGGGACAAACCTGTGTCTTCCTGGGTAAAGGCATGGCAAAGTGCAGGCAGGCTGTACGTAAGTCTGGACAAACACGCTTTTTACCTCTATAATCAACTTGGTATCTTCTCAATTCTGAATGGACACACTGGTGACTCACACATAATGGATACAGAGTGATTTCAACAGTAATTCTTCAATGTATTACACAAAGATAAAGAAAATCCACTTTTCCTCTGTTTGTTGGAGCCTCTCAGCAACACAAGTCATGTACAGATATTTTTGTTGTTTCAAAGTGTCAGACAGTTAACAACTTGGGTAACTTGAGGTTTAGCGGGTCTGTCCAGGACCAGTCAGGCACAGAGTGGCCGGCCAAACGCACCTCCTGTTTTTTTTTCTGTTTTTTTACATGATGTCACAGAGCCATATATTTATACGATTGTAAGCCGAAATAAAAATGTGGAGTCGAGAAAGAGGAAGTGATTAAAACCTGAAGTTACTCTGTGAGGTTATCCTCAGAAAGAGACAGGCTTTCTCCATAAGCTGAAGGCAAAACCCACTTGGCTGAACCTTTGTAGTGACAACAGAAATACAAAATTGGCTCAATATCTATGTTAGTTCAATGTTACCAGTTAGTCTGCACCATGACTGGTTCAAATAGGCCTTTTTTTTATATTGCGAGTTACTTATCCCAATATGATTGCATGAAAGGAATAGACACCTTTTTGATGTGTCCTATGGGAAAAAACCTTTAGGTGTTTTTAGGAGTGTCCTGGTTAAACCTTGGGCATGTCAGAGGAGCTGGTGAAGCCGGAACAGAGATGGACAGACAGAGAGTCCATGGTGTGCGTGCATTGCTGTCTGCTTGCTCATGTGATATGACTCCTGTGTTGTCTGTCGGAGGTTCCGGTCAGATTGTTCCTCGAACGTGACGTCAGCACGCCGTGTTGTGTTTAGACTTCTCACTACTCCTGCTGTTAACCCCTGAGGGCTCTGGGATATGTCTGCCTCTCTCCCTGCCCTTTAAAGGTTGTGTTCATTGGAAGCAAGCGTGCAAAGGAAAAAAATAAGAAACAGTCACAGTCGCATTCTTGTGTGAACTCCGGAGTTACGATTACCGGACCTGGAAGACAGGGATCAGACCTTTTTTTTTTTCGCATCATGATATGAGACAGATTTACTGCTTTTTACATCTTCAACTTTCACCTTTCTTGAGTCGGGAAGAGGGCTGAGAATAATTATGGAGAAGCTCACTGGTTTAGATTTGGGCATCACTCGAGTCAAAGCATTGTCAATGGTATGTTTTCTTATAGAAAGGCCTGTTTTTTAGACATAATATGCATGTTTTTTCATTTTTCTATTAAGAACCAATTACTTTTAATACTCTGGAATAATGTCATGTTGTTGTTTAACAGGACAGAGAACTACGGCCAGAAGAAATGGATGGTAAGATTTCTATCTCTCGATGTTAGTTGTGTCATTCTTGATTAAAATTATTCAGTTGAACAAAATGTCTTTAAAGAAAACAATGCTAAGCATCAACGTGTTATGTGAAATGAATGCTAAATTCAGTGCACATCATTTGTTTTTAAAAGCCTATACAACTTGTTAGTCCAAATAGAGTCCCGCAGTTGATTTACATTTAGGATGTGTTTGGTTTTAAAACAGAGTTGCGAGACGCTTTCAAGGAGTTTGACAAAGACAAGGATGGTTTCATCAGCTGTAAGGATTTAGGAAATTGCATGAGAACCATGGGATACATGCCCACGGAAATGGAGCTGATAGAACTCAGTCAACAAATAAACATGAACTGTAAGCAACCGTCCATCTCACATTCACAGTTTAACTATACAACTGTGTTCTGGTGGCGTTTTGAGGGTTAAATTGTCAAAATTGTGTTTCTTTTAAGTGGGAGGCCATGTTGATTTTGAGGACTTTGTGGAGTTAATGGGTCCAAAACTCCTTGCTGAGACTGCAGACATGATTGGCATAAAGGAGTTAAAAGATGCTTTTAGGGAGGTAAGAGCCTGGATTGAATTTACTAAATGGATTTTTGAAGTTTGTGGCTGTGATAAATGAGGTTTGGAATCTATTTGTTTTAATGTTGCTCCAATGTTTGCTCTCAGTTTGACACAAATGGAGATGGCGCCATAAGCACAACAGAGCTCCGAGACGCGATGAGAAAGCTGTTGGGCCAGCAAGTAAGAGTCACAGCAGAGAGGGAAGAACCTGAAGCCTCTAATCTAATCATGCCTGAAGATTCACTGTGTTGATTCTCACTTTTTCCAGGTTGGTCTAAAAGAAGTAGAAGATATTCTAAGGGACGTGGACTTGAATGGTGATGGACTTGTTGATTTTGAAGGTAAAACCACTTGAACGATCCAACAACTTAAGCCATCCTGTAGACTCTGACGCACATGTTGTATTTGTTCTTCTTTCTCTTTTCAGAGTTTGTAAGAATGATGTCTCGTTGAGATCATGAAAATGATCCATGCTGAATGTGAAGCTATGTCCTTCTTCACACAAGACCACATACAACCAAGGACATGCCAAGATCTACTGAGCCATCCAAATCTAAATGACACTGGAATTAGACCTCCTCGAATGTTATGGAGCTAGGAGTCACCTCACACTTTCAATCAATAAGTGTTCTTCCTGAAAAGTCTCTAGTTTTACTGAGACGGAATTTGCTGTAGCATTGCTGAAGATTGTTTAATTCATAGTTTTTTTTAGCACTTTAAATCTCACTTAATAACTTCCTGTGTGAATAGATTGTTGGTGTTGTCTCATCTTCCGAATGATGTTCAAATGTCTTGCAAACAGTCGCTTTAGATGTTTAAGAACTTCAGAACGAGAGACATGTTGTAGGAAAGTAAAAGATTAGCACTGTTGAATGTTTCTCAATATATCCACTTCTTCTGTGTCGTGTAAAAGATTGTGTGTGGAAGTACCTTTGTGTGACAATGGTGCTTTGCCAAGAACTCCAACTGGCAATATCCTACTGTGTAATGTAAATCTGTGATCATCTGTAATTGTTCACTGTGCCAGTCCCCGACTGATGGAAAAGCATCACTGTCTGACATGTGACAAAGAAGATCCGATGTTAACGAGATGAAGGTGTCTAAAATGCCTTGACGATTAGTTTTTCACCCATCAGAGACCATATAAGATGTGCAGCTCTTGTAAAGTCTGAATCCAAAAAGCCAAATAGCTCACTGACTGACAAGCAGTGGCTTGCAGCAATATGGACCATCACTGAACATTTGATGCTAGCCTTTTAATGTTCACTGGTATGAATTCACACAATGTCGAGAGCCAGTAATGGCTCTGTTTAGCCCTGCATGAGATTAGGCAATAGGATGACAAATGTGAGCTGTATTTACAGTGGATTCGATTATGTTGTACCTGTGCTGTCTGTCACTGTCATCATGATTCTTGATGTGGTAACGTTCCACACATATGTGCTGTCAAAGACATTTTTATGCATGCCAAAGAGAGACATTTATTAAATTTAGTATGCACATTTGCAATTTTGTTTAACAAAGTCAACAAAATATTTCGCCAAGTTAATTGTAGGAAAATAAAGAGTGTTTACATTTGAGTTCCTTTCATTGTTTCGATGTGTGCAAGAGGGTGTGTTTGTGGAGAGGGGGGTGTCTATTATTCATAGGTGTCACTGGTAAGGCTGCTGGTCGGGTATTTCTACCCTGCAGCAACACTGCAGTGCTATCACTTGACAAAACTTGACATGAAAATGGCAGAGTAGGTATGATAACTGTGCAGTATTCCTGGGCGACTTCAGAATAATTAATTTCTGAGTGAGGATTCATTTTTTATTACAGATGTAACAGGAAAAATAGGCAAAGTGGGTCAGTTTACTGTATCCACAAATTATTTCATAGACCCTGCTTTAATACGGTTGCAATCTTCAAATACCTACAGTGACTTTGTTTTCAAGACCATTTAGAAACAAGCACAAATTGGTGTAAGATAGACCCTTAAAATATGAAGTGCTAAAGGAGGTCTTCGTTATAAAATGCATATAACATCATTTTAATTGGGGTTAACACATCAATACCCATGACATACTGGCATGAAATGCTGTGTCATGGACCTCTGCTGCTGTTGCCAAGCAAGATGACAACAATAAGAACTAATATGTGCACACGTGCTAATGCCAGCTACTCTGTAGTAACAATACATCCATTTACTGTATTTCTCTCTCCTATCAGCCTAAAGGTTTCAAGTAGCATAGTCTGACACCAGTTTAACTACAATCTACGCAACTGAGCTTCATTTCAAAGCAGGGGGGAATTTTAACTTATGCTCGCCAACGCAATGTTTGTTAAAAATGAAACACCTGCCATACACAGCGGTACTGCCGTTGTCATAGAAACTATATCTTTCTTTTTTTTTGTCAGTTTTCAAGCATACGGTGTGCGCGTTGCGTTGGACTCTTCTGATTGGCCAACAACCGGACTATACCATACAGGAAATAGTGGAGGGGAGCATGATTTTTGCGTTTAAGAACACGTGTAATAATACCGTAGGTCATGAAATGTGCTCGAGTCCATTCAATGACTTGCTGGAAAATGCCTAATATAATCATCTATATCTCGCCACATAAATAAAACTGTCTTATTGGTAATTTCAGTAATTGATTTTCAAGCCGGACAAACACCCTCAACAGCAAATAATAATAGCAATGATGATGATAGGAAATTTACAATGTAAAAGTTTAAACGGAGGGCAAAAGAGGTCTTGCCCCAGAGTAACTCGCTTTTTTTTGTCGTGCGTAACACGCTCCCCTGAGACTTTCTCTTCATGGAAAATATACACATTTTTAGTTTGGTGGTTATAATTTTTGGCTCAATCACTTATTCTGGTCGTTGTCATAGTAGCTGTCAGAAAATGTAAATATCACAACGCCTCACTTTGGCGAGGAAAAATAGGTCCACTCATTAAGTCAGGCAAAAGCACATACGTCTCTTGTATTCTAATTGGGCCTTATAATATTCCGTTTGATTATATTTATAGGTTATAAAAAACAAGGTTGTGATTGGTCAAACGTTTATAGATCAAAAATCCTTATCTGGAGGATGTGATTCGGCAGATTGTCCGTCAGTCATTGGTCATGGGAAACCCAAGGTTAGGTAGTGCTGTCCCGCCCCCTTATGAACTGGCAGCCGCCGTAGCTAGCAGCAGAGCAAATGTTAATTCGGATATACACATTGAATGAAAGTCAGTGTGGAAGGTTGTGGCCAACTGCAACCGACTATATCTGCACACAGTGAATTTATCTTACACTGTACTATATATATGCCTGGTGAGGCTATTCCATTCAAAGTACGATTGATACACATTCACAAAAGATAGGTTGAAGGAATTTTGTGGAAGGGGAAGGTAAGAAACATTTGCATTTACGTTAGCCAGACTCATTCACCAAGAATTTCTGGTTAGACAGGTAGGTTAGCTAGATTGCAAAAGCTAACTAACCAACGTTACTTGCTGCTAATTTGTGTTTATATTTAGTTTCTTTTTCCATTTCATACCCAGGCCGCATGACATACTTTGGTCAACGCTGAGTTGGGGAGTACTTGTTAACATTTTTCCTCTCATTTTTCCGCATCTGTGCCTTTCCAACCCGGTACTGTTAACGTTAGCATACCGGCTAACCTATGGATATCATGTTTCATGTCACTAAGACACGCTGGCTAGCTTCTTTGGCTAGTCAGTCTTGTGTGCTTGATGTTACACATGCGGAAGGGTTGCTCGGACACATTAAGAGTTGAAACCGACGGCGACTGTGTGTGTTGTCAGGGAGCAGACTGCGCGGTGTGAGGCAATGCGGCCGCTACTCGTCGCCGGGCTGGTCGCGGCGGTGCTGTCGCTGCTGACCGGGCAGAGTCGGGCGGACGGCGGGGGCCCCAGCCTCGCGGATCGGGTTATCTGGGCTGTGAACGCCGGGGGCGAAACGCACGTTGACGTACACGGCATCCACTTCAAGAAGGACCCGTTGGAAGGGAAACTGGGCAAAGGTGAGTCCACAGTTAGAGTCACGCGCAGACGTGAGTGCACGTCCTGCCGGGCTTCACCTGCAGGAGTGACGTTACAGAGGTAGAGACCGTGTCTCTGGCAAGAAGCTCTGCATGCTTTCTTCCGCAAATGACTACAAACTACTGACGAGTCAGCACAGAGGGCTGCAGCCCCGCCCCTTTCCACATATAGAGGAAGCAGGTGATGATAGCATCAAATAGACCGCAGAGAGCCATTTCTGCCTCACTTATCAGGAAAAATTGCACTTAATGCGCGTTCAGGGGGCCGCAGTGTGGTACACTGCCATGTGAGAGAAGCTAACTGTATTCAGCCGAATTCAGGAAAAAGGTCATTGATTGTGCAATGTGGTGCTTTCCTTGACACGAAACCTACCCTTCCAGTGTGGCTGTTATTTAAGAGCTTTTCTTCGTCCCTTGTTAAGTTCACGCTCAGGCTGAAGTTGTTCTCCTTTTGTAGCATCTGATTATGGGGTGCGTCTGCCAATCCTGCGCTCCAGTCCAGAAGACCAGATCCTGTACCAGACTGAGCGTTACAATGAAGACACTTTCGGATATGATGTTCCTATTCGGGAGGAAGGAGACTACATTTTAGTTTTGAAGTTTGCAGAGGTTTACTTTGCACAGTCGCAGCAAAAGGTATTGTCAGTGATTAAACAACCAAATTGAAGTCAAACCTCTTATTATGCATGCTACATACTATGAATGGACAGCTCTTTAAGCTAAGGCATGTTTATTGTTTCATACCAAAATATAGTGTAACAGCTATGCCATATATCTGCCATTTGGGCACCGTTTAGTATCAGGTGCTAATATTGATTCACATCATAATTTTTTTTTTTTTTTACAATGATAACTAATGATCAAATGTTTCTTTAGGTATTTGACGTCCGTCTAAATGGCCACGTGGTGGTGAAGGACCTGGATATCTTTGACCGTGTGGGTCACAGTACCGCTCATGATGAGATCGTGCCCTTCTCTATTAGACGAGGCAAGCTGAGTGTGCAGGGAGAGGTGTCCACTTTCAACAGCAAGCTCACTGTGGAGTTTGTGAAGGTGAGCTTCTTATATATCTGTGTTAACATCGTAGGTCCACTTCATTTGCTACAGAGATCAGAGCTGATTTTAAAAGAATATTCAATGCTTTGATAACCCAAATTGTGGGTTTAGATTTAGTGAGCACGTGCTTTGTTGTTGAGATTTTAGTTGTCAGGTAAGGACTGTACTCATGGAAAACTGTGCATTTAGTGCCTCTATGGAACCTGGGCTATACGTGTTGACTTAATTCAAATCTGTGTTTATTTAGTCTTGGTTTCAGCATCTGTCAGTTCCACACATGTTACTTCCCCCTGTTGTCCCGTGTTGTAACAGAGCTCTCATTTTGCAGCTTGTTGTTGTCGCCGTTCATTTTTCTGACTGCGTGCCATTCAGCCCGTTCTGTTTTCCTGGTCAAAGTCACATTTGTCTTTAGGTTTCCACAAAGGTTAACACTGTTCTGCTGTTGGAAAACTGAATTAAAATCCGTGAGAGTTGGCTAACCCGACCGCCTCCGTTAGATTAGAGCCGGGGACGGGATTCTGTGGAGACAATCATCACCACATGCTGCCAGTACAGCTGCTGTAGTCAGCAACCTGAAACAAGTCATAAAGCAAACACAAAAATGGATTTCTGCGCTCTGGCTTTTCTCTGGGTCGCCCTGGACTGCAGCTCACCTTTTTCTTTTGCTGTCAGCGAGTGTTCTGTTATGTCCTGACAATGTATGATTTAGAAGATGATAAAGATGAGTGATGGACTAACAGGGGGCTTTTTAAGGCGAGCGGTTTTCTTTTATCACGTTTAGTTTAAGCAGTCTTAAGTGTCTACGGATACTTGTCCCGCTTCAGGTATTTATCAGACTGATATTTTGTCATATTAGAGGCCAGTTAGTGGAATCTTATAGTCCATGTCTATCTCTGTTAAACAACTCAGTGGTTTTTCCTAAGAAAACCCATGTTCCATATCTTAGATAAAACAAACTTGGCTTCTTACCTACTGATGCCTCTGTGATCATTCCCTCACTGTTTTTTTGCCTCTGGCTTTATGATTTCCTCTCGGCAACAGAGCGGTTGGTAATACATCTTTAGTGGTTCCCCTCTGCGTTGCATCCAGAGCAGCACGATGGGATTTGGAGCTGCTTCTGCTACGAGGCAGCACTTCTATTAACTAACTGGCTAAACCTGTCAGTGAGCGCCGTCTGCCACCGTCTGAAGTTAAAAAAGTGTGGATTTGTTGCTGTTTCCAGAGACTAACTCTAAATTAGATTAGCCCCCTGTCAGCATTTGTTTGACACATGTTCACTGAGCCTGTATGCGCAGCACTCCGTCACAGTCGGAGCACATTTGTGCTTTTGGGAGTGACACACCGCTTGTGCCGTTGGTAATCTCATCCAAGCTGTCATCCTTCACTTTAAGGCTGAAGGCTGCAGACGCTGAGAGGGCGTTATTGCTGTCCCGGTGTGCTTTTATTGTAACTAAACCAGTCAGTATTGATGTTTCAGTCTTTAAGGTAGGAGAGCTGTTATACAGGTGCTCCTGTAAAGTAAATCAGGGCTTTATCAGTTCTTCTGGGTGCCACCAAAGCTACGGTATTTTGTTTGGAACGGCTCAGTTGTTTGTTTGTTTTGTGCTTGTCCCTGACAAAAGTGTTGTTGTTGTTTTTGTTTCAGGGTTATTATGACAACCCCAAAGTCTGCGCTCTCTATGTCATGAAGGGAACTTTAGAAGGTGAGTGCTGGGGGAGCGGGCCTGATCCTTTCATACCTCCAGAGGGCACCGTTTGGCCGACGGTGTGCCAGGTTAGCTGTTAAGAGATTTTTCCTAAATCCTTTTCTCTGGCAGACGTGCCAAAACTTCAGCCTCACCCCGGCTTGGAGAAGCACGAGGAAGAGGAAGAGGAGGAGGAAGACAGCGAAGGAGGCGAAGAAGGAGGGAAGAAAAAGATCCCGGCCGGCTCCAAGTACAGGGTCCAGTCCGGCCCGCGAACGCCCAACCCGTACGCAGCCGACAACAGCAGCCTGATGTTCCCCATCCTGGTTGCATTCGGGGTGTTCATCCCCACGCTGTTCTGCCTCTGCCGGCTGTGAGCTGACACCAACAGAGGGGGGAGACACACCGAGGCTAAAGGCGGACGCGGGACTGTGAAGAGAGAGAGAGAGAGAGTGGGGGAGGAAGGGGAGAGCAAGTGAAGGTGGCAACAGCAGCGCAGGTAAAAGCATTCACACAGGAGAGCCTGAGGCACGGGGGGGGGGGGGGGGGGGGGGGGGGGGGGGGGAGACCGGGACGACGGAGGACACAAAGAGACGACCCGCTTTGGGAAAGCCACTGCCAGACGAAACAACCGCTGCTGTCGAAGGAGAGGGAGACGTCCAACGTGTATGCTGTGCGCTTCTCTGAATGTGTGTCGCATCCACCTCTGCTGACCCGTTTCGAACAATGTTAGTCATTTCCACTCAGAGGCTTGGCCGGGAGTCCCCGGTGCCAGACTCCATGGGTCGAAGCCACATTTCCACGGCTGGCAGACGCTCGGGAGCGCTTGCTCTGGGCCCATTTTATAAACTCAAGGCATTGTTTTGTACTGGGTGTGGCCAGAAAGCACACTCTGTTTAACACTCCTGCTCAGCATCAGGTCCGACACGTTACCTTCAAATTGAAAATGGTGCTGCTTAGAAATTGGTCGACCATAAATTAAACCATGTGTCCGATGGTTTTTGGAGATGCTGTTTTCGTTCGGGGGGGGGGGGGGGCCTCCGCTCCTCTCAATTCGGAAGTCTTTCTTTTTCATTTCGTCGATGTGCCATCGTCTACTTGCCATAAGATGCTGAGAGGTGGAGGATGTGAGTCTTGAACCAGCCCTGGGGCTGGCCCTTCATTTGCTGTCTACATCTGCTTGCCTTTACATGAACACAGGTTGGGTTTCACAGACGCATACATTGAAAACCCTTTTTTGGTCTTACTGCAGTGATTACAGATTCAGAGCTCTAGGAAGCGTCCAACAACGATCACAGGTTTTTTAAAAGTCCACGTCCAACCCTTACAGAAGAGTTGTTTTTACAGAGAGGCAAGTTTATGCTGTGAAATGCTAAAGCTCCCATGAGTAAGGCTTATTTTACCGTCTGGTTTTCTGGTTTTATTCATACAATCAACCCTTTCTGCACGCCTGCCTTTTTGTTTTTTCAAAGAATGCTTTGTTTTTGTTATTGTTTCTTTTACTACAAAATCTGAAACCTTGGGCCTCACAGATTTGCTGTGCCCGTCGAGGAGCACTCCCTGTAAAAAATCTATGCTCATTTTTTAAAATTTTGAATCGCCTTTTCATATTTAGAGAACGAAACAGGTGTCCTTTGTCTTAATCCTCCTTTTTTGATGCCATAAGTGAGTTGTTTTTTTTTACTGTACACGAAGTGATGCTGAGCGATGGGGCACAGGTTCCGAACACTGGGCCACACGTTTCTCTCTGTGCACATCAGAGAGGGGAGGAAGCACAGCACAAGCCCCAGTTCAGTTCTCCATATTTCACCTCTTTCGTTTTCAAATACATTTTTTGATTATTTAGTTGAAGTTGTTGACCTGGGCTGAGCCGCTCGGTCCAGTCTGTCAGCCTGCAGCGTGTGGAGCCTCTTTTTTTCAGCCTTTGAACGGTCAGGCTGCACGTTGTCCGCTTTGGCCGTCGGCTCTCAGCTTCCGGACGGCGCCGTACTTTTAAGCTCTCCACGTGGAATGAAAAGCAGCTTTGTTTCTCTGTTTTAGTTGAGTGCTGGTGAACCCTCCTATTTATGAATCGAGTTACCTCCCTTAAGTGCTTCGCTCCACTCCGAGGACCATTTGGATCTTCGCCTGTTTAACAAATCTTAAAGGCCCCGCCCCCACAGCTAAAGCCCTCCCCGGCCTTTTCCTCACCAGGTGGCTGGAAAACAACCATTAATTCAGGTGTTGTGTATCCTTCTTGATTCCTTTGACTCTCCTTCTCGTTTGGAATGAGGGTTTATGCCACAAAATATCCGATCAGTTGGAATTCTTTCGTTTTTCTGTAAAGTCCATTCACTTAGAAGTCATACAAGCATCTTTGTTTCCTTTTAAAAGATGCAAAGTTAAATTAATTCAGCACCAAAGTCACCGTCTCCTGATCCTCTGTAAGCCTGCACAGTGCTGTGTGTGAGTGTGTGTGTGTGTGTATATACGGTACTAAACTCACACTGTTTGTCATGTGGCAGCAACTCTTTCATCCATTTTACTGTTGTCGCTGAGGTGTTTGGGGTGTAAACTTTTTCTTTGTGGCCTTTCTTTGTGGGAATGAGTGCTTGTTGGTACAGAGTATGATTTTTTTGTTTTGTTTTCTTTTCTAAACAAGCAGCCTCATGAACTGGTTGCCAGAAAGTCAAATAAATGAGATTATATGAAAATATGGGATCTTCCATTTTATTATATAATTTAAAAGTGGGGCTGACCTGGAGATGTTTTATAATCCGCTTGGATCAGTTTTTTTTTCCTCAGGATCTTTGAGTTCATAGACAGAAAAGGTGATATTTTTATTGGTGTGACATTTTGCACTGCCTCGTGTATTCTTACATGTGTTTTTTTTTGTGTGTGTGTGTCTCTTTGTTGCCTTGAATTATTGAATACATTGTGCTTTTTCATCATTCGCCTTGACGTTGATTTTTTTTTTAGCTTATCTGAAAACAGACCTTTCTCTTTTTATTTTTTCTTCCTCTGTTAAACAAATTTCAGGGCTTGATTTTCATTCCACCCAAACGGCTCCTTTTGTATGATTAGAGGTAAGCTGGATGAATGGTCATCTCTTGGATCTGAAGCCACTTTCCTAGGATCAAAGCCAGTCAAAAACAAACGGGAAGGTCTGGAACAGCAGCGTGTGCGTTCGTTTGTTTCTTCCGATGACCCGTTCGTCCATCTCACAGCAGACTGGACTGGAATGAACATCTGCTCGTTTTCTTTGCCACTTAAGAACCAAAGAATTGCCGCCATTCCATCTAAATTCTTATTTACAGTGACATGTTTAAAATTAGGTTTTCTTTTATTTCATTTTTTTTCCTCCACCACCTGGTAAACCTTTGAATAAACCAGGTAAAAACAAACATGTCTTGTCCTCGGCTTTCTTGGATTTCCAGTTTCCTTCCACGGCAGGCCGCAAAGAGCCCGCAAACCTCATCGGTGACGTACTGTACAAGTCGACTTTTTTGTTTTTTAACTGAAGATGTAAAATGTACTTTAAAAAAAAAGACTGAGCAGCCCAACGTCCGCCGGCGCCCCGTATTCCGGCCCCAGAGCAGTGTGAGTAGAGCCTGTTGTCGTACTGTAGGTGAGCGGTGGGAGACGGGATTCGGACTGAGAAATGTGAGAAAAAGACCCCTGATTCTGACTGGGATGTGGCCTAAAATGAGAAATGCAATTCAATGCTGTCTCTTTTTAATAAATGTGCTATTTTATCAGAACACGTTGCAGCTGTATTTCTCCTTCCAGCTTACTACGCAAACATTCTGGCATTGCTGTCAAATATAATTTGGAGATTTGACAGAGTGGGAAACTGTGCTGCTTTGTGAGAACCCTCTCAACCAGTGAGCCATATCTCCTGACGCTCGCACACCTCCGCAGCACATGTGCCGAACCCGTATTTGTTCAGGTGCCTGTTCCACCTTTTGCCAGCAACTGTCTAAACGTCTTTAAATAGAAGCGCATATCTCAGATATGTCAAACAGCTGAACAAAGTGGACCAAAGCAGGCCCGGTCGCAAAAAAAAACAACCTCCCGTCTCTGTTATTAGACACTTTTGAAACTCTTTTAATGGCCAAAGAATGGAGGAAAAACCTTTTTCAGTCTGAGGTATTTAAAAAAATATATATAGCACACAAAACATTCATAAATTAATAGATTTGAGAAAGAAGTGCATTCTTTTTAAGTTCTGAGGTAGCGTATTGTCTCTGAGGAAGCGAGTCAGGAAGTGGGTTTAACTTCTTCTGTAGTATAGAGCCATGAAGGGTGTGTGTGAGAGGCGAAGGCCGGCGGCCTGGCAGGGCACGGCCGCCCCGTCCCGCCGGCAGCCCAGGAGCAGCCCTACGTCCAGCGGGCCGGTCAGCCCCTCCCCCCACGCCTCCCCCGGAGAGGCCTTTTCACCCCGGAGGGCCTCGCTGGGGAAGAGCAGCGGCAGCCGCATGTTGACCGGTCCGGGGGGGGGCCGTCCGGCGCCGGCCCCCTCGTGCAGAGTCTGGAGGAGGAACAGCAAGTCCACCCTCAGCTCCAGCGAGTCCCCCAGGAAGCCCAGACTGTACCTGGAGAGGAGGAGGGACAGTGAGCGGGGTTCAAACCAGACCAGATGGCACCAGATGTGTGTGTCTGGAAGCATTCATTCTGATTTGTAAAGTGAATGTAAAACCCTGATGGTGGGTCAGTGTTACCTGGTGGGGAGGTTGTGCTTTGCCATGAACGGAATGGTGGGCCGGACGTCCACATGCTGTGGATTAGAAAGCTTCAGGTGCAGCTCGGCCCTCATCACGGCCAGCGATAAAATCTCCCTCGTGAAGACAAATTCCACATCTGCATCTGGTGGGGAGAAAAAGAAAAGCCTTCAGCAAAAAAAGCTCCTTCGTTTTTCACGTCAGAGAGCCCGGCCGGGTCCCGGCGAGCCGCAGGGATCAGAGCGGGATCTGCATCACAGAGGCCATGTTTTCACTTTTAATGGCTTCTTAATCTGTCAGCGGGACGCCTCAACAATTCGTGGAGGGAACACTAATCCTGCTGAGACTCATTGGCATGCAAATAACACGGTTTCTCTATACAGCTGTATTAAGCAAGCCATTAGCGTCCTCCATGCCGCTTCATGGGGCCCACGGCTTCTTCTAAAAGCCAATTCATGACATTTGCCAGAAGACTACTGCACTGTCACTTTGTGAGTGTTTTTCTTTTAAATGGCCACTTTAATTTCTTTTTTCATATGAAACTGTGAACTAATTGATTCTGGTGTCTCTGCCATGGCTTTCCTATTAGTACCCCCATCAGATTTTTCTTTATTTTTATTTTACACATCTTGTAGGGAGTTGTCAGATGGTATCGATTAAAACAAAAGTTTTTGTTTGTTATAACTTGCAAAGTAAGTGAAAGGGCTTTAGTGGGATTATTGGAGGGGAACTGGGAAGCGTTTTTGCTCTGATTCTACACATCTGTGGAGCACTTTTCCTCCGAAAGACGTGCTCTAATAAGTTTTCAACAACCTATCATGAACAGGGTTAAAAAGGCTCGCTGCATAGGACTGAACATATACTTAATTCAAATGAATCATCCAGAGAACTTTTCAGAAAAATTGGGTTATTGGCATATTGGAAAAGACGATGGAAGATAAAAAATAGATCATTTCAGTTTTCCTCACCTCCTCTCAACCGCCCTTGAATCCCTTTAACGCTCCTGCAGCTGAGTCCCTCTTGACAGCACCGATACACCCGTCTCACAAAGCTGAAAAGGGACCTTCCGGGGAAGACCAAACCGCGCGAGGGCCCCGGAGAAAAGGGCCGCACGTGGACTTTGAGCAGGGTGGTATCCTCCCGGGGGTCCGGCTGCGTGTTTTCCTGCCACGGGGCCACCAGCTCTGCGCAGCGCTCCCGGTGCGCGTCCGCGCGTAAAGCGGCTCCGGAGGACTCGTCCGCGAACGTGGACGGCCGTGACAGAGATCCAATAGTGTCCACCGCGCGACCGAATACTCCGACGTGACTTGTGGCCACCGCGATGGCGAATGAAGCGATCCAGAGGTAGTTTGACGCTGCCATCGTAAAAATCCAGGTTGCTTATATTTGATTGTCCAAGGCTTTGCGTCCGGGGTGTTCAGTCTTTGCCCTATATAGCTCACTGACAATGGAGACGACTAATCACTCCGAATTTAAATCCTGCCCGCCTTAAAGTCCCTGCCCCTCTTTTTGTCCGAGCCTCTAACCCACTCGTTTTCTGACGCCCCACGGCTTTCTTTTAATGCGCGTGCATAATGAGGCGCCCCAAAGCGCGCAGACCTCATCCATTCAAATTCAGCCACTTAGCTAATGACGCTAATCTATCCATATTTAGATCATCAAGAACGATCTTATTTGGAGCACGTACAGCACAAACTAAACCCTCCTATTGGAGGTGGATAATAAAACACACATGAATGAGTCTGGTTTACCAAACTGCACTCTGCACTTCTCTGGAACAAGGTCAGAGCAGCAAAAGGGTGGAAAACAATAGGAGCCATGTTGGAGGGTCACATGCAGGCCACTTCATAAGTACCCTCAGGCAGAAGCACTAAGTTCACAAAGAGGGATCATTTAAGCAACAAACTGAGGTTCCTACACATTTAATTCCAGCAATGATGTGGTCCGATTATCAGTTAACCACAAACGTTTTGAAACTTTTTAAAAAGGGAATTCAAGAAAAATATACATCTGTGAGGTATTTTCATTTTTATGAAAATAGCTTAAGACTTTTATGAGAAATCCAACTTTGTTTTTCATTTGTTACATTTACTTCATGAAGAAACTAAGTATCAATAAAGAGAGGGAAACAGAGTTAATAACACATTCTAGCTTTATACAGGAGTCAATACTTCAGTAGTTAAGCTATACTCAATAAAGCAAGTAAATAACCGAAATATCCACGATAAACCTTTTCTCAGTCATTCAACAAATTTTCCATCAGACGTTACAGTCTCCTGGAAAATGTCAGAATTTGTTTTTACGGGAGCACTTTTATAAAACAGAGTCTCATTAAAGGGGGAATTTCTTGGACTCATCTGGGGCGGTGGAGGCGGGGGTCCCGTTACAGCAGGTTCACGCCGTGTTTCAGCAGCCTGTGCCGGGCTTTGCTGGGCAGGGAGAAGGCGCTGTCCTGGTGGTTGGGAATGCCGGAATTCCTCAGCGATCCCCCGAGCTGCTGGAAGTAGGTCTCCTGGGCCACGCTGCGGGTTCCATAAACGGCCGCGCTGGCATTCCTGCAGCAAAAAGTCACGGAAAATTACACTTGGACAGCATGGACATGCAAGAGAAAAGACTAAAACGACCTATCAGAGTCCATGGGGCAAGCAATAAGGTGGAGGTTTTCTGGAGAGTGGTGTGTGTAAGTTAAAGACGGAACATTTACAGCAAGTGCAATGTGAGTTTTACGCGTGATAAAGTGAGCAATGCGTCTCCAACCCCCAGCTTTTTCCCTTGAGAGGAGCAGGAACTCCCCCGACCTGGACGTCACAGCCCTGCTGACCTCATAATAGCCTCCTGCAGAGTCTCAGTGTTACAGAAATGCGAGTGGAGGAGCGATGTGGCTCTGACAAAAGGCTGCTCCGGGGCTCCCCCTGGTCTGCCAGACACGTTGGCTGCAGAGGCACACAACAACAGAGGACCGTTAACCTGGACAGGCATGTCTGCTGCACAAAGGAATGCTGAGCACGCTCTCACTAATTAGCCGTCAGCTCATGCGAAGGCGAAAAAAATAAAGCGTTAAAACCCCTCCCACCCTGTTCCTCCGGTAGGGAATCCGGGGCTTGAGGTCCTTACTTGTTAGAGTGCTCTGAATGCAGTCAAAATGGGCAAACGTGTAGGGTCCCGGAGCCGCCGGGGCCCCGCGGGAGATGTTCCTGAGGTGGGCCTCCAGCCCATTGAGGGAAGCCAGGCTGCTGTGATACTGGACACAAAGATATCAACCGAGACTGGCATTATAGTTCCAAATCAAACCACGGCTGTACCTATGTTTGTTTGCCAGAAAAAGATTAAAAAAAGGGATCTCACCACTTCTTCTTTTGAAACGGTGTCGCTCATGAAGTGAGGCTCCACCAGCAGAGCCAGCACCAGGCTGTTGACCCGGTGCATGTAAAGCGTCATGGGGATCAGAGGGCTCTCCTCTGAGCTGTCAAAGGCGCAGGGCAGCGGGGGAGGGGGTCTGGTCTCCGCCCCGTGGCCCTTAGCGCCCGGGCAGCAGGCCCCGCCACCTCCCACCTCCATCTTATCGTCCCGGGCCTGGTCGTTCCCAGAACCCGCTCCCCTGTAGTCCAGAACCGTCCCTCCGTTCGGCCGGGGGTTTTCCTCAAACACCGAGCTGTCCTCGCTGGGCAGCAGGCTGCCCCCGCTGGCGTTGCTGTGAAAGCTGTGGTAATACGAGTCTTCCAGCGGGGAGCCGGTTCCGTTGGTGAGGGGGGGCCCGGGCGGCGGCGGGGGGGACGGGCTGAGGGAACCGCCGGCGTTCTGCGACGGAGTTGGACTGAAGGCGGAGTTGTCCGACTCTGAGAAGTGAGGGCTGAAGGACAACTTCTGGGGAGACTGGGAGGAGCCCGGATAGGACGCCTCTGACTCAGTGGAGGGGGTGTCTGACAACGTTCTAGAAAGGCGGGTCCTCTTCGGGGAAGCATCTTTGAGCGGAGTCGAACTGGAGCTGGAGAAGGGGGGGAGAACCCCTTTGAGAATCGGAACTGTCGCTAAATACTTCTCAACAACTTCCTAAAAGCGGATTCTGTTCTGCTGTGTACCTGAAACCTCGGTCGACGGGAGCGGACTGCAGGAACTGGAGTTCAGACGTGGTCAGGAACACGCCGGTGGAGCCCACAGCGCAGCCGGGGGGGGTCACTGTGCTCGGCCCGCCGGACCTCTGGACCTCGTTTGAATTGAAATCAGAGCCGTTACAATTTATAGTGATCACATCTTATTCAGAGAGTCCATTGAATTAAAAAAAAGATTCCATGTTGATTAAATTAAATCAACTGCTGGTAAAATCTGATGCTGAAAACCAAAACTATTCTACCTCTGGAAAACTTTATAGGATAAAATCCTAAGTAGTATTTAAAGAATCATACGTATAAACTGTTTTTACAATTTACCTGCCAGTGCTTTAATAAGACACCAGGTCTCTTGGAATAAGGTGCTCTGTATGTATACATCAAACATCGAGCCCTTCGATCTCATGCCCCATTCCCATTGTGAAGCACGGTGGTGGAAGTTTTATTATTTAAGCCTACAAAGCTCAAACTTTGGATTCTGAATCATGCTTGATGGATCTTTGAGGTCAATTTCCAAAAGTAACATCTAAACTGGATATCGATTTTGAACATGATGAGAATCCTCAACCAAGACATCAGTCACATTAAGGCTCATTAGTAAATTAAACAGTAAAAATTAAGTCTTAAACCAGATACGAATTGTCTGAAACGTTAAGGAGCAGATGATTTTTCATAAAAAAATTTCTCAAACTGTGAAGCTGAACCATGCTCATGCATATCCACTTTTAAAAGGACACTTAGTGGGAAATATCTGGTGAGATATTTGTCCTACCTTGGAGTACGTTTCACTCTCATGAACCACGATCTTCATTGTGAGCTCTGGAGACATCTGTGTGCTAACAATTCTTAAAGAAGAGGAACAATAACCTCATTTCAGAAAACATCAGACAGACTTAAATATATCTTAAAAAACACGGTCAGGTACAGAAAATTGCTTATGAAAATGTTCTCAAATGTTAACTCACCGCCCTTTGAAAAGAATGCAGCCTGCTAGCGCTAGAGGGCAGCGCTGGCATGCCTGAAGAATGAGGGCGGCTTTGAGGAGAAGAAGTGGGTCAACCTGCGGAGAAAAAAAGAAAATAAATTAAATTCAAATTTACGCAGAAAATGAATGAACAAACAGCAGTGAATGACATCAGTGCATAAGATAACGACTTTAATCGGTTAAACTGTTCCACAAAGACGGTTTGTGTAATGGATACGTGATGCTTCAGCACGTGTTCAGGGAGAAAAAAAAAGGAAGCAGCCTAAAAGCGGGCGTTTGACATTTAAAAAAATCATTGATTTGGGAACATTAAAGGAACCCAAATTCAGATGTTTTGATGCAGCGTAAAACAGACTATGCTGATCTTTACACAATTCAAACACCATGGAGACAAAGGGAGAGCTTTTTTAAACTATTTTAGATTAATGAAAGGATTATTCATTCACTTGGAATCACTCACTGCCAGATATTCTCGGAAAAGTTTAAATGACCATGTAAACCACTGTGCTGTATGCCCCCTTTTTAAAAAAAAAAGACTCACATGACTAAGTCAGACTTTCACTGACCAACTTTTACAAAAAGGCCAAATATAGTCTGAACATACACGATTTGCCTGGTGCCCTGCCCTTTATTCACCTGACTCTCACTATGAATATGAATGGATGGCAGCATGTGTTGCTCCTGATGCTGTTTGCATGTGCTACAGCATGAGAATCTAAATTAGTTCTTTAAAATATCTGCCAGAATATGTGTTAACCATTAGTTATTAAGATAATTCAAAATAAGCTTTACATTAATTTTAAAGAACTTGGTAAAGCCAAATTTCAAGTAAGTGGGGTAAACCGCAGAAATGAAGTCTCTCTTGCCACATTTGGGGCTCTTACACAACACCTCAGGGCATTGTGACAAAGTCACATCCTGTCTCTGGTGAGGCAGCAGGATTTTTTTTTAAAAGCCACCGCAGGCCAGAAGCAGAACCCTCACACCACATGTTGTACGTGCATTAGTTGAATCGATGGTCCTCAAGCAGCTGAAGATGCTGTACAGCTCGGAGGGTCCGGACTGCAGGTGGGACAGGTAGCGCGCCCACTGACCCGCCAGGGCCTCCCGGCCGGTCAGCTGCAGAGGGACAGAGGTGCACACGGTCAGGGGTGGATGGACAGTTCCCATGAATAATGTCGCTCACGTCACAAATTTGTTATCATAAAACAATCCCAAAATACAGAGCACGAGACGCCTGAAAGAAATGGTTAGAAGAATTGCAGGCTGCACCTGATAGCTCTGGCGAACAGGGCCGTGGTAGAAACAGAAGAGGTTTATAAGCTGGTCCAGGAGCTCACCGACGCTCACTATGGGAACTTCGCCAGAGCAGCCCAGAGCCTGACAGGAAGAAGAAAAACAGAGGAAAAATCTAGTCTATGTGTCTCTTCCCCTCACCCCCAACCGGCAGAGGCAGATGGCCGCCCACCCTGAGCCATGGTTCTGCTCCAGGTTTCTGCCTGTTAAAAGGAAGTTTTTCCTTGCCTGTGTCGCCTAGTGCTTGCTCATGGTGGGAATTGTTGGGTTTCTGTAATTAACTTCAGATTAGGGTCTGACCTGCTCTGTTTGGAAAGTGCTGTGAGACAACTGTTGTTTCGATGTGGCGCTATATAGATAAAATTGAATTGAAATTTGAATTGAACTGAAAAAAGGGATCGGGTTCGACTGCAACTTTAAGGTTAACGAGCAGTCGAAAAAAAAGTGGGGATGAGTCAAAGTGTGAAACCTCTCAAAAAAGGGTCCGGAGAGCCTACTCACCCAGAAGAAGTCCTCCTTCATGCGGATGGCGAACTTGCAGCGCCGCAGCCGGAGGGTGCGGACGGGGGAGGAGGACAGCTCGGACACGCAGCGGCCCACGCCGGCCAGCTGCCCGCACAGCAGCTCCTGCTTATCCAGAGGCGTCTGACAGGAAAAAACCACAGAGAAGGTCAGCCGTGCGGCCCCCCCAAACTGAGACACAGCCAGGAAAACAAAAGCCTGGAGGGCCGGTGGAAGTCAGACCTCTTCAGGGTAGAAGTAGCAGATCCCCTCCCGCGTGAGGTCCCCCTCCCCTCTGACCTTAGATCCATCATAGAGGAAGAAATAACTACACCTGTAAGGGGGGGGAACAACGTCAGCGGGTTCTTTAAGGGGGTGGGGACCCACACTGGAGACAGTAGAGGCCGGGTTGACAGCAGCTCAGCAAACACACAACACACACTAATGCTCTGAAGCAATCAGGTGGCAGCTCATTCACTCATTCATGACACCCCCCAAAAGGATTCCATCGGTCGATCTCACCTCCTCAAGCCTGACGGCAAAAGCTCAGCCATCAGTTATCTCCTGTCCATGTATGTCCACTCCAGCTGACTGAGGATGAACTCCGCCAGAAAAAAGAAAAAAGAAAAAACTTTGCACACGCTTCCGCAAACTTTCAGCCGTCCGTGCAAAACCAAAACAAAATGTTTTTTGGTTTTGTACGGATGAAGATAAAGACCAAGTTCTCCGGTTGAGGCTTATGTTGCATTCGCTTTTTGCCAAAGACTAAAACCACCCGCTGAGGAATGCCGATCAGTCACAAGCAGTGGAAGTCATGTGAAAGGACGAGAAGCGCAGAGGGACAAACTACTGCGTCATTCAGAAAACATTTTCCCACAAGCTTCTCGGTGCCAGAAATAGCTCTGACTAGCTTAAGAAAGAGGATTAGATCGTTTTTTTTTTTTTATAAAGCTTTTCATTTTTGTTACTCTTTCCGCCGCGCTGTTACTTATGGAGTTACGCATTCCATGAGTCTGACGTACGCTGGAAAAATGATGTCTATCGGGTGGTGACCTGTCATAATTATGTTCAAAGTGAAAATAAATAGTGAGAAAGAAGGCGTATCCACTGTGGGACATATGAAAATAAGTTCCAGGTCCTTGTGATTTTTCAACAGCTGCATAAAGCCTAGTTGTTTTCTTTGGTGTTGTCACTACCACAGAGTCATTTTAAAAATGGACGTTATTTCCTTTAATGAGAAATTCTGTCCCCTCAGACACAGATAAGTAAATCACTATATCCATTTTCTTCTGTGGCCACACAGCAGCTTGTAGCCTACTTCAGAAGTCAGGTCCAGTCAAAGAAACCCTGCAGGAGCAAGAATGTGCTGGAGGAAAGTGATGCCCAAAACGTAGTTTTGCTTTGATTGTATTCAAACCTTTGCTAAATGATATCTTCGTTGTTTCCTGACCCTGCAAATTTAACATAATTCAGAAAGAGACGCGAGCACGTTCAGGGAGCGACGCACGAGCACAGAATCAGCTGTTTTCTGACTAATGTGATCTAAAAGTGCTTTTCGACTGCACGCTGTTTTTAATAGGCATCTCCCCCCGTATAAACCAAAACAGAATCCATGCTGGAAGCCACGCAGATCTTTGTCTCGGGGATCGATTAAACGTGTCTGTGTGAAAGGGACCGTGGACGCGCACGGACGCGTCCGCCTTTGGATTCAATGACGCGCGACTAAAGATGAACTAACCTGCTCCGGGAGGGGGGGGGGGGGTGGATACATCGCTCCCAGGGAGGAACTCGGGGTTCACCTTCCAGGTCTGTGAGATCCACACAGCTCTGAGCATCGATGAGAGCCCTCTGCGCAGGCGCGCCGGAGCAGGCGGCGCGCGGGGACGCACGATGGGATTTGCCATCTCCAAACACGTGGCCGTCCACAGTAATCTCTAAAAGCCACTGGCGGGTGGCCTCATCCCAACCGAAAAATGATATCCTCACAAAGCAACATCTGTCTCTCCACAAAGCGCTTTTCAAAGGTTTGCTGCAATAGAGCTGTAAGCCAAATGAAGGTTTTTATTGTTTCCCTACTTTTGTTTTCCCCCCCCAAGTGCTTATTCTGTATTATTGTGACTGGTGTGTTTGTACAAAAATAAACAGTAAAATAAATAAAACTAATTGGACTGAAATTATGACGGAACATTGGTTTGGGGCAGGACAGTCTGATAAAAAGAAAATGAAAACTTCACGTTTACACCTTTTACAGTGAGATGATGGCTACATAAATGTGGAATTTCAGCTTAATTTCTTATGCAAAGAAAAAACACTGCCGCTCGTGGAAACCCTTTACCATTTTGACATGATGTCACCAATAAAATTCCACCTCCTTACAAAGGTTTCAGCACAGCGTTGTTCATCCAAATCCTAGATTCAGACAACTGACAAAACTGTCCTGGCATATATATAAAAAAAACTCAAATCAGCTGACCGACACCTTCAACTGTCATATTAACCTCGTTAAAAATGAGAAAGTGCAGAAAAAGGCTCTAAAATGAGATGTAAAAGGAGTAAAAGTGGCACCGGCACGGAAAAGCCAGTCACATAAACGTTAAATAATCTGCATAATGTGTCAAATGTGACAGAAGTATTTCATTCTTATGCTCTGTGTTGGAAAAGTGGATTAATTTAAAAAACTGCTACCCCCCCCATGAGTCCTGATGAGATGCTACACAGGACTGTTGTTCTGATCTATCTGAGCAGACGTGTTCTTCTGTACGTATGATGAATATAAAATAACTTTAAAAATGCCATTTCACAATCACATTAGCTGCTTATCAAGTAAGAGGATTTCTTTTTCCAGCTTCCTCATTTTAAGTGCTCTGTATGCCATTTCCTGGTCTCTGTTCTCCATCTCCTTTTTGAGGTAGCGGCCGTAGAGGGTCTTCAAATCTTCTCTCTGCCTCTGTGAAAACGAAAAAGGAAATCACATCCGCTTTTTCTCGTTCCCAGTTCCCGACCGTCCCCACAGCGTAACGCCGCCTCTGGGCCCTCACCTCAGAACTCCTGCCACCGGCCGCTGACCGGGCCGAGTTGCCCACGTCCCGGAGGCTACTGCTGTGCACGTCCTAGTGAAAAAAGGAAAAAAGGTATTAAGTCATGGAGGATAAATGCTTGATAAGAGGCTAGTTAAAAGGGCCTTACCCCTTCAAAATGAGTGTCGCTGATGTCGGTCTCGTCCCCGCTCAGGCTCTCCGGCTCCGTCTTAGTGACCGGCAGGAGCAGGACCGGGTGACCCGACACTGAACAGGAGGGGCAAACACCACAATTCAGCTTTTGAAACTGGAAAATCAGCCATCCCAAAGGTTAAACAGCTCCTTACCGCTCATAAAAGAGCTGTCAGGTCCGGTCAGCGGGGCGAGGCAGGCGCCCCCGGGCAGGACCTCCACCCGGAGCGAGCCGTCTCGGGGGTGCAGCGCCTCCTCCTCCGCAGAGGTCAGCGACGGCGTGGCCGAGCCGCCCTCATTCCGCAGCACCTCGGCTCTTTTCCGTTTGGCTGTGGCAGGACACACAGCACGACTTAGGAAATGTTGGGAGAACAAGTCTAGAGTAGAAGCGTTTGCCTTCTATGGAGAATACCTGTTTGGACTATGTTCTTATACTTGACTTTTACTTGCTGCCATGTCCTTTTGTAGCCACTGTCCGATACCCTGAGAATCATGGAAAATAACCCACATTAGGTCACGGGTTCATGTTTTGGATACCTCGAATCAGGGAGCAATGAAAATGAAACACTATCCGATTTAAGCTGTCTTACGCATTTATTCTGTCAGCAATCCTCTGCCAGGCCTCCTCCCTCAGCTTAGAGGCACTGGTGGTGTTGGATTTAGCTGTGAGGATCTCTCGCTCCTCTTCATACAACTTCATGATGAGTTCCTGCTCTTTAGAGCTGAAAAAGTGCGCCCTTTCCTGCTTCCTGGTCATCTGGAAATCTAAAGACAAAGCACATGTGGGTGTAGGTTTGTGAGAGTCCTGAATAATTAGTAATAATAATTATTATTTGTTGTTATATTCTCTTTATTTCTGTGAGCTTCTGAAGGAGGTCTCCTCACCTCTGTCTGCATTCATCATTCTGATCCGGGTTTCGGAGGGCGACTGCTCTCCCCTTGGCGGCGGAGCGAGTGCGCGCAGTTATCCGAGATGTTCCAATGCTAGATTTAGTAATCAAATCCAAACCCTGCGCCGTGGGACGGAATAAAACTCTGCTCAGTCAATGCGTCAGTTGCATCCAGCCCGTGCCGCGTCATCAATCATCTGCCCCGGGATGCAAAGAGCGGGGGCAGAACAAGCGGCGCCATCAGACGGAATATCGAGAAGCTTTGTTAACCCAGGATTTTCTAATTCGGCTTAAGGCGCGTTCACGGGAAAGAGGTGGGGTCTGTAACAAAGAGCGGGTCACGTGTCACAAAACGTCACGTTGTGACAGATTTCTAAGAGGTATTTGTGCTTCTGCTTAAGATAATATTAGTGGAGGTTAACCACTCAAAAAGTGCCAAATTAGGTGAAAGGGTGATGGGTTATACACGTGCCACTGAGCGCGTTAGGTGGAGCGCGCGCCGTTGCCTTGGGAACCGGAGTCCCAGTCCTCCAGGACCGGATGCTGCTTCTGCTGTAACCTGGTTACAGATGTGGACTCACGGGCTTTAACGGGTCTGGATCATTTATATAAAGGAATGAATTGTGTCTGTGTTCAGCTTCTCCCGTTTTGGTGATTATTCACAGCCAAACTCCACACGTTAATGTTACAAATAAAAGGTACTTCTTTTTGAAAAGAAGATAGAAAACAAGTTTCTAAAATGCTGTTAAGCTTATTGCCAGTTTAAATAAGTGCAGTTTAAATAGAAAATGTCATTTGGGTACAGAAACTGATTGCAGGCCTTTAAAAACTCTGCTTAAGCATGTAATATTAAGTTGGATAATCTGTTTCCATTATGGCTACTACAGTTATGTTGAGGATCATACTCATTTCTGCCAATTTTAAGGAAATTATTAAGCTCAATGCTGGCAGAGAAGGTTAATTACATACACAGAACTTAGCAATTATTTTAAAAGTATTGACCAGTCTGCATAAAATGGAACTGTGTTAAATATATTTAAATTTGAGATTAAAACTGACAATTTTCGTCCAGGTTTCGCAGCAGACAGTTTGTTCACAAGCAGAGGAAAAACAAACATTCCGCCTTATTTTCTGTTAACTGCAGAGTTAACAGAAAACATCACCTTCACACTAACTCTGGAACAGAACACCTTTTAAATGTGTCTATGAAGGTACTTAACTTGAACTTGTGAAGAATGATGTGTGAAGAGAGCAGTTATTTTACTTTAAGATGATATCCTCTGTCTATGCAGAATACAGCGGTGACCACATGGGAGATTGGCGCCAGAGACCAGCAATAAGCGATCAGGTTCAGTTACATTCATAAGAAACCCGCAACTTGTAATCAAAAGAGGGAATAATCAATACAAATTATAAATGTGTGTTTTCATACTCTGAAAACACAAATGACACATAATGGAAAAATACCCATGAAAAGAATAAAAGTAAAATGTCTCAAGTGAAACATTAAGATGTAATAACAGTTTATTTATGTTAATTTAGTTTAAGCAGACATTTTGTTTAATGATCCAATGATATGGAATTGTTTTTCAGGTGCCCAATGTTGAGGGCACAGAGGTAAACTCAATAAGACCAAAGTGAGTAAACTGTCAAAAGGAGTGTGGTCCAGTAACAGGCTGCTGAGGACTTGAGTCAGTTATGAGGTCTGGAGGGTTTATTCATCATGTCCCTCATAGCCATCAGGAAGGGCATTCAAATGTGGGTTGTGGAAGAGAGTTTTGGTTCCATCTCCCCAGGGGAAACGCTGAGAATACAAAAAGAACAAGAAAGCAGCATTGAGCAAACAGTAATGCAATTCTAGCAAATGAGATATGTAGGAATCAGACCTTGGAGCGAATACGAAGGTGGGTGTACGGGACAAACTCTGGCTGCTCGTGGCTGTGCTGCTGCTCCTTCAAGTACATGTTCAGCATGCACACCGCAACACCAGGCAGGGCAACCACAAAGCTGAGGATCTTCCAGGTTTTAGCTGCAAGAAGAAGCATATCAATCTATTTTCAGACATAAACACACAGATCTTTATGAAAAAAGAGAATAAATTTGATGTAAGGCTATTGATAAGAGGCACCTGAGAATATCAGGTGACATGACTATATATATATATATATACACATACACACACACACACACTTACCATAATTATTTAGTTTGAAATGTCACTATCGGGAAACGTTCAAATTTACTTTATTTTGAAAACCAACAGCCAACTCCTTCACTAAAGGATTTGTGATATTTCTTACTGATTTCTTGCTAATTTAGAGCTTTAAAAACGCAAGACATTTTATTTTCGGGCTGGAAATCTCTTGTTCTACATCCGGTATGTGAGCCATTCTCGTATTGTGTTTTATATTAGATAAATCTGAGGTCTTTCACACTCAACTCCTTTTGTTTACCGCCTTATAACTACAGTTTACACAAGCTAGTGACGACTTTCGGCCACATTTGGGGATATATGACTTTCCATACTCTCACCACACATTTAACCACCTCACTTTAGTGCTGCCCTGATGTTGTTTGATAAAACTTCTCATCAGGCATGAAGTTAAGATTCCTCTACCCCGGCTGGGTTGTTGTAATACGTTTAGTCCGCAAAACTACTCTACGGATAAGCTTTCAAAACACACCCATTTACAAATTCCAAGCCTTTATTGATATGAGGTACGAACTTAGAATGACACAGCTATTAAACAGCTAAATATCCTACTGTAAAGCTACTGTTATATCAATGAAGCAAAGCTAAAGAGGCTAATGCTAGGTGAACAAGGTCACATTCAAAATATCCCAAGTTCTGTTAAAGTTTGGTTCCATTAGAGGGACTGGATGACAGTTTCTGAGTTTGAACACTTACCTGACTGCTCGCCATGCCCGGAAGCAGCAGCAGCAGAAAGCTGACGCCGAGTTTGGGTCAAAGAGGACCTCAGCAGTGCCTGCGAGAAGCGTCCGAAAGCCGCCATTTTCCTTTCTGAGAGACCGGAGACCGGAAATAAAGGAGAGAGTGACGTCACGAGCAGGCTGAGCGGCTCCACTGCGCCACTGAGTGGTGAAACCGGGAACTACTATCACAGATGCTAATTCTGGTTAGGACAGGCTAGAAGCATCAATGACATTTTTTTTTATAACAGACACGATTACCGAATAAAACCTTTGCCACAGGGACACAATAGAACTGACAGCAGTTCCTCTTTGAAATAAGGGTGATATGTAGACATCTTCGTGAGGACAGACAGATGTTGACACAGTCCATCCTACTTAGAAAAGTTTGGTTCCAGAGCCTGAGCTACACGCTAAGGAGAACCTACATGTCGAATTTGTTCCAAGTACAAAACTGGAGATCTCTCTACATTTTTATGAATTTAGGGATCAAGATTCCCTCCTTCACTTTTGCCACTTTCTTTTCCCCCATGCTGTCATAATTGAAGGCCCCACTGTGGCTCATTAATCTTTTTTGCATGATTTTACTTGAGCCAATCAGTAAGTTAATCATCACTCAGATATCTCTTTTGCTCCCACACTGTCCCTTGAGGAAAGCTTTTGCACTTGTCCACCTTCATCTGATGCCCAGTTGGCTTCACCTTCTTATCTCAGGTCATCTAACATTTGCATTTAGAATCCAAGAATCCTGTCTTCCCCCTGATTTCAGCAATGCTTCACACAGCATGACATCCCACTAGAGTTTTATCATTAAACCCACCCAAATTCTCTACATTAATGTCTATGGCTGATTTTTTTGTTGTTGTTGTTACGGCAGACCCATACACAGCTGTCATGCACTCACAGTTTAAGTTTTGAAAATGTGTCAAACCTTTTTTAAGCATATCTAGCAATCTACATACTTCATGGATAATGTTTGATTTAAATTCCTGAAAACAAAATGACTGCTTTGAGGAATTAGATTTAAAAATATATTTTTTGTCAGAAAAATTTACTGAAGGGTATTTCTGGTTCATAGGATATTCAGACAAGAAAGAAGACAAGCAAATGGTTAAATGGCAGCTGAACTTCCCGACCCACTCTGATGGCTGTTTCTGACTATGAAGGTATCCAGCATGTGCCCATGTTGGCATTCGTTGTCTATTCAACCCAACAAGTTGGAAGGATGAGGGTTAAAATTGTGGAAGAGTGTTTATTGAGCCGTTAATAGTTAACATATGTGAGCTTAAAACAAACAAGAGATTTGGTTGACCTCTTAAATACCTGCTACTGCACTTTGAATTAGTCTCTGGACTGAGTACTCTGATTTTCTGAAGAAAACTTTTAAAAAGACTGTGCATTGTTTGTTGGTTAAAAGCCAATCGTATATATTTCTATTCCTTCTCTCATCGATGGAATCTCAATATCACCATTTTGGATCGGCTGACAGCACCACTGTTAGCAGAGAGTCCAGAAACACACACACAGGTAAATCCTACTTTGAATTAGTTTGGACTCAATATTCACAGAAAAGCAACGTGACAAATTCCTATGGCTGTTTTAGGTATGAGGAGGATACTGGTTTATATCCTGTACAGCGTCCTGGTGCTGCTGCTGTTGATTCTGCTGATGGTAACTGGGATAAAATGTACGACTACAAGGACATTCCGGCAGAGTTAAGCAGATTCATTTTCACTTTATCAAATTATAAGGAAATGACTTTATGATATTGCTCTTATGTCACAGTCACTCAGATGAGCAAGGAAATCAATGAAGTCAAACTCCAGATTGAGACTGTCAGCCGTCGAGTATCCACTCCGACATCCTATTCAGGTTTTAAATAAAAACATTTCTATTGTGAACATACTAATGCAGCCAACTTCATTGTCTTATTCCAAGAGCACTGCATTTATGTGGCTTTGCGTCTTTAAGGTGCCAAGCCTTTGCGGGACGTCTTTTTGCAAGAGCTTACCCCAGTTAGAGGTAACAACTGTAGATTTCATTCTGAGTTCTGAGTCTTTGCCCCAGTCAGCTTCTTTAGCCTTTCTTAATCTTCATCGAACAGGAACCTGCGGGGAAGGATGGGTGAGCTTCCGGGGAAGCTGCTACCTGATTTCCATCACTACAGCTACCTGGGCCAAGGCCGAGGAGACGTGCAAATCCCACAAAGGACACCTGCTGGTTCTGAACAACGTGGAAGAACTGGTGAGGTCCTCCTGCTGAGGTACCCTTCTGCAAGGCATTGGTGAAGTAGCAAACAAGACTAACCACCATGTTATTTTACACGCTAGGACTACATTTCAAAAGTAGCTGATGTCCAATTGGGATACTGGATTGGACTTGTGGAGCGAGGGCAGGAGGGACAGTGGAGCTGGGTGGATGGAACAGACTACAGCTCAACGCCAACGTACGAGAAGACTGCCGCAAAAAAACTCACGCGTAGAGAAACATTTCAAATCGAAGTCATCAACACGTGTGATGCAACCATCCCTCTTCCTTTGTGCTCAGGTTCTGGGACGTAGGTCAGCCGGACGACTGGGACTTCAGGGTGAATGGAGAGGACTGTGGGCAGCTTCACGGGGCCCAAAGACGCAAACGTAAGCTGTGGAACGACGCAGACTGCGGCCTGTCGTACCGGTACATCTGTGAGATGAAGGCGTGAGAGACGGGATCTAAAATCAGTAAAATGCAAAGTGATGGGAAATCTGTTCCTGGGGACCATCATCACCTCCATGAATGACAGAAAGTGATGAACTTGCATGCACCATATTCGACAAACTTCAATAAATACACTGTCTTCTGTTTCTGGGTCCCTGCGTCTTTGAGTTTGACCACGATGACCACTGGGCAGGTTATTGGATGGTAAACCAGACAACTTATTATTTTTTTTAAAACAGACCATTAAAATACCACTTTTTGGTTTAAGAGGATCCAGAAGCACCTGGACCTAAACCAGTGTCTTGAAAATTAATATGATGAATAGATGAGCGAAACAGATGTGGTCATTTAACACCCCTGTATTTCCACAGTTCAGATAACAACAGCTAAATATTAGAACATACTCTGAGATGATCTGAAGGTGCACGAAAAGATTTTCTCGGATCGCAAATTACTGTACAAACCTGGTAAGGACTATTTGTGGGCACAAACTGAAAAAAAAAAGGTTGGAACAGCTGCATTTTTGTCGTCAGTCCACCAGCCGGCAGGAGCCACCTTCTGAGAGGAAACCACAGTGCAAGCCGTTCTCATTTCTGTGACATAACGCCTCATCTGGGGGATGCGATGGATTCAGGATTGTAAAATTATACGACTTGTTCAAGTACATTTTCTTTCTTTCTTTTTCTTTTTACAAAACTGATTTTCTCCCCATCAGAGAAATGATCTAGACGTTTCAGTTTAGTCTCCAGGAGTTGTGGAGCTTAAGTCTGGCCCTCTGGAAACCTGTGGCACACTGTCCATGCATTGCTCTTAATCCCTGCCAAACAAGAATGTCCAATTTGCCTTTTTTGGGTACATGTCATGAAATGTGTGTAACTAACTGTAAAAAATAAATAGCTTTTTGTTGTGTGAAGCACAAAACTAGTAACAATAGAAGAAGGATTGGATGGTAGACCTGGGAGGTACTTACAGAAAACCTGTTTTAGTTTCCCAGAGGATTGATATCAGGACTCAGCTTCATTGTTATGAGGATAATTACCCGAAGCCTGGTGCTAGAGCAACATTAGAGTAGTTTATGGCACGCAAAGTGTTTCTCCTTTCTCGTGTGGGCAGATAGCAATGCGCTATCATTAGTGGTCACTGGGAAGGTGGGCATTTCCTTCGTTACAGGACTGACAGCCGACTGCCTCTACAAAGGTGCCTGTTCTGCCACACTCCCACATGAACGTCGTCACAAAAAGCATCATGCTGTTGGAATCTGATGGGATCTGCTGGGTGTCTTCACTTCCATAATTTGCATTACTGGTGAAAAAAATCATGAATCTATAAGAAACATGACCAACACTAAATAGGCAAAATTAAAGTGAAACACGTAATTCTAGAACATGACAGTAGAGTAAAATTTTATCAACTGGAACATCATCTGGTTCAAGTCTTGATCAAGACAAATATTATAAAATTGTTGATAAGGTAATCATGTTAAGCTGTACTCTTTCCCGCTGGAGACTTAAAATAAACTTTCCTTCCTGTCTCACGTTTCATGCAGTGAGTCATTACATGTTTTAAAGTTTCTACTTGTTGCCAAAACGTGCATTATGTTTACCTCTCCTGTCTGTAGTACTATTAGGCTAGCAAGCCTCTCCCAAAATCTTATACCTACATATTTCTTTTCTTTTAATACTGTAAAATCATTGTCCCTTAATTCTTCTCTTTGCTTCAGCCAAATGTTTTATTCACTGTAACCCTAATTGAAGTTGACCGACTTATGTTTGCCCTTTATCTTAATAGGAGCTTATTCTCATGAAAAAAAGAACTGTCAAACATAATCTAAGTTCCACACAGCGTTTGATTTAGCCGCAGCTTTAGCTCTGACCGTAAACAGTGTGATGTAGCTAAGGGAAACTGTCTGTGTAAGTCTGGACTGCATCTAAATATCAAATAAAGCTCTTGTTCTTGATTTCTCTTCCTAAAATGGTCAAATCTACTGTTACTTAACACTGATATCAAACGGCATTGAACTCAAAACATCGGAATGGAGTTGTGGCAGACATGCTGTATCTAAAATACGAGAAATGCCTCTTATGAATTTTAATTCGGTTTGTTTCCGAACAGCAGAAATAGCAAAAGGAATAAACCAGAGTGCGTTTTTTTAATGCACACCATGTGACGCTCCAAATAAAGATAGTTTAGGTTCCAGAAGCAGGCATCATGTCACACAAAGTCAAAATTTTAAACTGTAACTGCATCATTCTCAATACTATTCATGTTCAGTTTGATGAAAGATGTCATTACAGCAACTGAATGCACACAAGGTGGGAGGCTGATTAAAACAATAGGCGGTAAATGACTCACGCATTGGTCTCATGTGTGTCACTGCAGAGTGAAATATACTGCTGAGCTTAGTTCTTTCTGACCAACCGACATCTCGCTCTCCATATCTATCTATCTATCTATCTATCTATCTATCTATCTATCTATCTAT